TCAACCAAGGCTACTGAGCGGCCCAGGTATAATGTGATAAGACTCTGCATCACAATGGTGGCAGTGGAGAGGACAGGACATATGTAATATGTGGAAGGCAAAATTGACAGGACTTGGCAATATACTGGATATGGGAAATGAGAAAGATGATTTTGAGGATGACACCTAGGTTGCAAGCCTTGGGGGATGGGAGGATAGTGGTACCCTTGATAGTAACAGGGAAGTTCAGAAGGAGGGATAGTTTGGGGAGGAAAATTATGAGTTTAGTTTTGGACATGCTGAGATTAAGATACATAATTTCAGTTTGAGATATCTAAGGTATCCCACACAGTTTTGAACTGGGTCAGGGGTGAGAAACCTGTGACCCTCAAGGCCATATGTGGCCTTCTAGGTCCTTAGGTGTGGACTTCTGACTGAGTCCAACTTTTACAAAACAAATCCTTTTATTAAGAGGATTTGTTCTGTGAAGTTTGGATTTAGTCAAAAGGCCACACTTGAGGACCTACAGGGCTACATGTGGCCTTGAGGCCGCAGGTTCCCCACCCTTGACCTAGGACAAAACCATTTCAGATACCTACTGTTAGGAAAGATGATTTCTATGAAGATCCCGCAAAGGAAACTGAGAAGGACTGGTCAGATAGGCAGGAGAACTAATTGAACGACCAGACCAAAACAACAGTTCATTAACAGCTCTACTGTCAACCTGGAAGTGGATCTATCAAAGGTCTTGTATTGCTTAACATTTATGTTAATGACTTGGATAAAAGGCATAAATGGCATACTTATCAAATTTGCAGATGACCCAAACAGGGAGGGTAAACTAACTTACTGGACAATGAAAGTCAGGATCCAAAAAGATCTCAACAAGCTAAATCATTGGGCTTAATCTAATAAAATGACATTTAATAGGTATGTGTGTAGATAAATAGGTGGATAAATAGATAGACAGACATACAGATAGATATGTTAAAGATTATAGATTAAAACAACAAATAAAGAGTACCAACCAGTGATACCAACCAAGCTTGCTTAAATTAACATATGAAAAAGATTTGAAGGTTTCAATGAATTATGAGCTCCACATGAATCAACAGTGTTCAGAACAAGAGAGCTAAACGCTGTTGTACTCTGTCCTGGTCATACCCCATTCCGAGTCCTGTATGTCAGCTCTAAACACCAAATGTTAAGGACACTGAGAAAAAGAAGTTTCCCAAGGAAAGTGGATGAGGACAGTGAAGGGCCTTGAGATCATTCCACATGAAGATCAATTAGAAGAAAAAAGTATGTTTAATTTAAAGAGGAATCAGGGAGGGCATAATCACTGTCTTCAAGTCTTTGAAACACTGTTATATGGAATAAGAGGTTTTTTTCTGTTTGGCTCAGAAGACAGAACAAGGAGTAACAGACAAAAGTTGAAAAAGCGTATCTTGGTTCAATATAAGGAAAAACCTGATAACAATCAAAGCTATCCCAAAGATAAATGAGCTGCCTTAGGAGGCAGTAGATTTCCCCTTCACCTGAGGTTTTCAACAAAGGCTGCAAGAGCATTTGTTGGGAACGCTGTCAAGAGTACTCTTACTCCAGTATAGGCTAAACTAGATGGATTCTAAGGTCCCCATCAACTTTCAGATTCACTGAAATTCCAACTCTGATACTTGCGTTCTATGTGTTTCTGAATAAGTCATTCTACTTCTCTGAGACTAAACTTCTTCAACTATCAAGTGAAAACAATATCTGGACCACTTGTCACTTGCGGTTGGTGGTTGTTCCTGGGAAAGGATAGGGACCATGGGCTCTCCATGGGGTTTCAACTGGGAAGTAGATCAATGACAATAAATAAGCAGTAAATACTAAAAACTGCACATTTGTATTAATGTTAAGTACACCAAAAGGACATTTAAGCTTCATAACTAGTGTGCACTGAGTCTTCAGAAACTTCATTTTTACGAAGGAATTTAACCCTTATTAGAAAAGAAAGAAAACTGGAACTGGCTGGAAACTAAGACAAAAAGGACAGGGTAAAAGAAGGGGGGGGCTATCTGGGTGTGTTTGTGGATGGTGTTTAATGTCTTAGGAGTTCCTTCAAGAATCAACAAAGCTGAGGTGGGCTCATGGCACTCACTGAGCCACTCCCTAAAAGAGCGGCATATAAAGCCATACTAAATGCTTATATCAAAAAGCATCTGAGTTACACTGCTTTCCTAGAGGCACAACTAAAAGAGGAAGAAAGAGCTAATAGTTGTGAATAAGGTACTTTATGAATTTTAAAGTGACATATAAATGTAAGCTAATGTAATATAATTTAATGGCTTACATTTCTCTTATATCTATCCCTTCAGAGCCCAGCAGAGTGATGAACACAATATATTAGGTATTCAACAAATACTTCTTAATACTGATAATACAAATGTAAATACTCATCTCATTAAACAAAATCTACCACTTATAATTATCACAATTTTTTTAATGATTGCATTTATTTACTTAACATATATTATAGAACTTTAACTACCAAATAACAGCTGACTCTTACACAGCACTTTACAATTTACAGACCACTTTTTTTACAAAATGTGAGGTACATGTGAGTTTCCATTTTAAAACAGAGTTTCTAAGATGCCTGAAGCCAGTAGAGAAATCTTTTGAAGAATGAAGGGGGGAGGGGAGGGTTACTCTTTCAGGGACCTGGGATCAAGGCTAAGAATTAGTGAACCTGAGAGACTAAGTTCTTCATAGAACTGAAGACCGAGGGATGTCAATGGAGCGAAGAAAGAAAGAAGAGATTTTGGATGTCTCTTACCTAGGGTTCCCACATCTGGAGCTAAATGGTTGAAGAAATAGGTTCTAGACAGAATGAAACACCTAGCAGCGTCAAATAAATTGGCTAGAAAACTTAGAGCTTGACCTAGCATCTAGCCCAGAGAGAAGTGAAAAGATTTTTTAATACATCAAGAAAAGAGACTAAGAAGGCTAGTTTCTTGAACATTTACACAAAACACCAGGTTTAACTATGAAGGCTTACAAGCCTATAATCTTTCTTCACTTTTACTGTAAATTCCTTTTGTGCTTTCCATTAGTTTTTAGTACTTAAAACCCTTAAAAATACACACACAAAGTCTGTGTACTGTTCTAGAGCAAGGAAGAAGGGAAAAAGTTTGCATTTTCTTCCACAGACAGAAGTGAAGGAATCAAAGTTTAAAGGAGGAGGTGCCAAAGAAAAAACAGCAATGTGTACTGGTAAGCCAAATCCTGCCAGCTAGTACTGGTAGGTTTAAAAAAAAAAAAGTGTGAGGGTGAGGGATCAGTATAGTAGGTCTCATGGTATCATACCATAAAAGGGTTTTTTTGGTTTAAATTACTGATAATGTACTTTTTTTATCATCTGCTTCTTTCCCTCAAATATGCAAAAGAAACACAAGCTACTTTTTGTTCAGTTAACTGAGCTATTATAACATACTTATACTATACTTATAAGTATAATTTTCCACAAATAAGTCAATAATTTCCTATAACATAGAATTCATTAATCAACTGAATATTTCTCCTTCTACGTATCATCTAACAAAGTTTGACCTACTCGTGATTAACATGTTCATTTAAGTGGTGACAAATGGCATGCCAGATCACACATGAATTTACATTAACAGCAAGAATTCATGACACAGCAAAGACAGCAAATGTAATGCAGGAATCAAGACCAGAACTTTGATTACATTAATGAAATACTTAATGATGTATGGAACATCATCTTGCTATAAACAAGAAAAGTTACAATTACTACATTCTTCAACAACACAAAAAAACACTTGTTCTAATTGGTCGAGGAGCAGTCAGAGGTGTGCTGATAAATGTTTAACATTTAACATTAATATCTTCAAAACACACTAGCACACTTTAACACTTAATCGGCACTGTTAAAATTTTCTCTGTCACTTTCTTAAATCTAAACAACAAAACTATGATTTGTAGTGTTTGCCAATTTCCAAGGCACTCACGCTGAAAATTTAACAAACCGCTCTCAACAGGAAGCAGGAACTAGTTCCAGCACACTCCTGCAGCAGCAATCTCAAACACAAAAACTACAAGCTACTAATTTTAAGAACATACAGGAGGTTGCAATATTTTAGGTACTCTACCTTTCTTTTTGCCTGTGTAATACCCTAAAGTCAAGAAAAACAAGTAATTGATAAAAGGCATTTAAAGTTCTTTTCCTTCATATGAAAAATAATGTTCTAATTAAAATAAGGAGATAAAATGCAGCAGAGATAAATTCAAGACCTAGAAGTGAGAATATTTTGATAATTTCCAATTATTTTACAAATGTATACAAAGCTTAATAGTTTACAAATTAAAATGGACTTGTTTTGGTACTTATTATGAATCTTAAGTTTTAATATATTTTATACTAGTGAATAAACTGCATTTAAAAGAGTTTATATTCAATAAAATAGGTGAAAAAATTAGGCCAAAAATTCAACAGTACAGTGGCTAAACAACTACATGGCTACTTATGTTTACCATACTATTTTAAAGGCAGAAAATGATTCATAACAAAAACTGTTACTGTGATCAAAAACAAATCAATAAGAATCTATCATGAAAAATCACAAGAGTTATTTCAAAACATATCATATTTTAAAGGAAATGTGAAATCAAGATGCAGAATCTCGTTTAAAATTGTACAACTTACTACTCTGTATCAGGTAAGCAAACCTACAGCATTCATCGGTACTCTACCATCTCTCTAATGTGCAGTCTGATTTTGCCTACTACTATTTCTTTCTTCTATCCCCAATTTTTTCTTCCCTATGTTTGTTTTCAGCTTTTCATTGCCATCTACATGCATAACTAAGCTCAGCAAGCAGCACCTCAGCACTTAGGGTTTTCAGAGCAAACATTAAATATTTTTGGATGAAAGCAGTCCTACTCAAAAATTTTTAACTTATGCTACTGCTGCCATCTTGAAGCTTAATATCCATCTTTATTAAAAGAATCTTTACCTGAGTAAGATACCGTCTGTAATCTTGCCGAAGTTCTTCCTTTAGCTTATGTTTCTTCCTTTCATAGTCTTCACCAAGAGGTAAACTCAATCCATAGTTAATCCCTGCGAAATATAAAATTCACTTTCAATGCACTCTTGACAGAATACAACAGTTTGGGAAACAAAGCCCACTTATATCTATCTTTTGATTACTAGCAAGCCTCAACTATTTTAATCTTTGAACCACAATCAAGTTGGCAAAATAAAACCAAAGAAAAATAATGCATTTAATGTCATGTAATTTGACTATCATTTTGTGAAAGAAAACTCTAAGAATCTCAGTTTATCTATCTCCAATTCTAAAAGGACATGGAATCAACATGTATTTTTTTATGGGGAAGCTTACATAAATAAATTTGTTAAAAATATTTTCCTTAGAAAATATATTTATGATCTTCAGCAGCTTCATCTTAAAATAATTTAAACCACTGGCTTTGAAAAAAACTACCATTTCATAGAAACTGAACATTTCCTTCAAAAATGATACTTAAAAATATTCACTTAAGTGAGCTTTAAAATTAGGTTACATACTTTTCAAATGTTAATTTTTATTATAAAAGACTATATCAAGCACAGGTGACAGATGACTATTCTTTTCAGGTTTTTGAAGGCCTTCCCTCTTTCTCTGTCCTTACTAGATACAAAAATATAATTTCAAATATTTTCATTTTTAACAAAATTGAAGATTTTCCAGCAAGGACTACAGTTAAGATAACTAGCTACAGTGTATATGTTGCCATTGATATCATTTCTGTGCCTTGTTCCTCACAAAGCAACTAAAGAATGGCAATTTGTCATAGGCATGACATATCACTGCTTTATTACATCATTAAAATATTTCAGAAATTTAGCCAAAGAGCTATAACTTACAATGGATGCTCACTAGCTTTTACATTTTTATACAACATATAACTTTTATGTGTTGTGTATCTATATGTATATGAATACATATATAACTGGCTTTTATATTTTTATACAACATATGACATGTGTTATTATACAACATGTATTATCCAATTTTCTTCATTATCACTTTGTTGCCATGTTGATTTCTGAACTGCTCATATATCATATCTCCTATCACCTTAAAATAAACTGTGTATTATCAACACACACTTCCCTAAAGTAATGCCTGTTACTCATGCTGCTAATAATTCTCTTTCAAGAGTCTAAAGTCTTCTATAACCAAAAAGCATTAACTATCCATTTTTGGTTGAATAGCCAGCAGCCTTCCCCTAAAATCAAGAAAACTAAACCTCACTCTGGAGAAGTACTAGTATCTACTTTAAGAGAGTAAAAAGACTTTTTATTCTGAATCTCATCCAAAACAGAGGAAAATAGCATGAAAAAAATTTTTATTTTTCTATTTTGACATTTAGATAAATTTTTACCCAAAAACAAAAGCACAATAACTATGAGCTAAAGTTAAATATATGATCATAACAAAGGCTTTGTTGTGCAATGACACTATATGCTAAGCTAGCTAGCTCATAGCAGGAAGAGTAGACAAACTATTCACATCTCTCAGAGAAGTACAAATGTTATATTAAGCAATGTTATATTTTTACACGTATCTAGGAAGTTCCTTTAAGTTTATTTTCACTTATCAAGTCTATCTAACTGCCTTTCAATATTAAATTCAGATGTTACTTATAACGCTGTTATTTTTTCAGCTCTACCTTACTAATAATTACGTAATTCTAAACAGTGTTTCACCTCTGAATTTAAGACATTATTTGTGAGGAACTTCATCAACATTCAGTGGCCTCACAGGTAAAATATTGAATAAAATTAAAAGTATGTAGAATAAGCTTATTTTTTCCATGTTTTAGCACTTCAAGCTGAACAATAACCATGACAGGCTAAATTTGCTTAACAATCTAAAGAAATATAGAGACCTACTAATTCAATGGTTGTCTTCTGATGGTTCTAGTATCAGGTAATGCTTAAGGGTCATTTTATGGTCATTTGTAGTGATAATACTTCACAAAGTAAAACATCAATGACCCCAAAAGAGTGAAGATTAAGTTTCATAAGTATGACCAAGCAAACACTAGTATTTACTTTGTACAGCAATTATGAGTTATGTAAAATCAATTTATAAGACTAATGTATAAATCATTCCTGAGGGGTAACTGAGATATGTATTTTTTAAATTAAAATTTATTTTTTCAGATAGGCATTATATTCAATCCAATACATTTCAAAATGCCTACTATGAACAAAGCACTATGCTAAGGAGGCACAGCAGATACAAAGACAAAAATAAAGAACACTTCCTGCCCTCAAGGGGTTTTTACATTCTACCAGGAAGATACAATACTGACACAGAAAAGAAAACATGAAACAACTAGGAGGATCAGGGAAAGATTCACAGAAAAATGGCATGTGAGCTGAAGGAAGATAAGGATTCTAAGAGTCTGCCATAAAAAAGAGAGAATTAATTCTCTAAGAGGGCTTGTACAAATTCTTGGGAATAAGATAGAATCAGAAAGCCTCAAAGTGTTCAGGAAGGTGGAGAGCTAGGGAAAAACTTCAGCATCTTCCAGAGAAGCAATGCTCAGACAAAGACAGTAATCAGGAGTCCAGTAGCTCCAAAGTCCCCAGCATTCTGTTCTGGAATGCCAAGGAGAGAGGTCTGAAGATGCACCGCTATGAACCTCCAAAACTGAGGCAGGTTAGAAATCAGCACAGCAACCCAGAGGACTCAGAGTGACAACAAACCTCACCCAATTCAGGAACCAAAGCAGGAAAGATAAGTAAATAGAAGAAACCCAACCGGAATCATTAACTGTTGTAGTTATACAGATTTAAAGATACTCCAAAAAGAGAAAGTAACTCTATAACAACTACAAGCAATGACTTAAGTAAAAAACTGATTTTCTATAAGGTCTGTATAAATAAATACTCAGAAGATTAAGCAAGAAATAAAGGAAATAAAAGTTCTAAAGGAAAGAACTGGAAGGAGCATAAGTAACTTAAAACAAGTGGTTGATCTTATCTAAGTAACAGAATCTCTAAAACTAGATTAGACCAAACAGAAATCAATGATTCCATGAAAAAGCAAAAAATATAGAACAAGATCAAAAGACTGAGGAATAGATGAAAATAGAAGATATATGATATAAAAAACAACTGGCCTTGGAAAAAAAAGAAGGAATAATCTAAAATTTATTCAATTCTGTAAAGGCCAATTGCTCCTTATAATGAATGGTATGCATATTCATAGAAAGTAGACATGGATCAGAGGTATATATAGTCTGTAGTTATGGTCTCTGACCAAACTGTGGAATTTTTTTTTAAGCACAGACATTATATTTCAAGAAATTACAAATTAAAATTGCCCACATCTTTTTTTTAGAATATGAGGCCAAAGTAAAGAATCCACTGACAATCTCCTGAAAGGAATTCCAAAAAGGAAAGTCCCAGAAATATCATAGCCAGAATCAAGAATCAAAGAATACAATACCGCAAGCATTAAAAAAAAAAAGTAGTCCTGGAGAGACCGGGAAGCTAATCTATAAATGGAGATCTTGAATATAATTCCAAAAGGCAAAAGATATAGGCTTACAACCAAGAATAACTCTGCAAAGATGAATATAATCTTACAGGAGAAAAAAATGGAACTTTAATAGAAGATTTTCAAGTATTCCCAATTAAAAAAGACTACACCTGGAACTTTGAAATAAACACAAGAGTTGAAAGAAACACAGAAAGCCAAATTTATTTGAGTAAATGGAAGGAGCTATAGGCAATATAGTGCAAAAATTCTAATAGGGAATAACAGACATACTTCTTCAGAATGTTAAGGTTTCTGAAGGGTATTGAGGAAGTTAAAAAAGCAAAACAGAAGATCTGGGGGTAGATTGGTTCTGTTCTGATGGTTTGAAGAGAAGAAAGAGATGGGAAGGTAAAAAGAGAAATACATTACTGCAGAAAGGAAGAAGCAGCTATTCTTCCTAAGTGGAGCGTGTGAGAAAAGCACACAAATGTGGAGAAAGGGATGAGGAAGAAGGCCCCAAATAAACCTCTCACCTGACATGACCAAAAAAAGGGTTGAATACATTCACATATACACCACACACAAATGCCCCCTCCAAGAATTCAGTATAGAAATACATGAGAGGTTGGAGAATATCAGGAAGGAAATGGCAACAAGCAAAACAAACGTCCTGATCCTGAAGAGACTAAGGAAAATGAAAGAAAGGGAGAAAAGAATGAGAGTCTAAGGTGTTCGCTATTGATTAAGGAATGCCTGAACAAACAGTGGTATATGAACACATGTAATGGAATATATTATTGTGCCACAAGAAAGAACAAAAGACACTTATTTTAGAGAATCCTCAGCAATATGAAATGATGCAGTCAAGAGGGCAGAACCACAAGAATTTGCACAAGAACACTGACACCTCTGCAAAACTTTAGAACTCTGGTCAAAGCAATGACCAGGCAGGACCTCGAGGGACGTATCTGACTCACCTTCTGACAGAGTAGGCATATATTCAAGGTACAGAAAGAGAAAAATATGTTTTGATGTGGCCACTTTGTGGATTCATTTTGCTTGACTATGCTTGTTTCTTACAAAGGTTGTTTTTTTTTTCCTTTCACCTTTTATTTGGGTAGGGGGATGGAGGAGTAGGGATTAGCAATAGTGATTAAAAAAAAAAGAGCGCCATTGAAACATTTTTTAAATGCACAGGAGAAATTAGATGGAAGTTCAGAAGGAAGGACAGACAGCAGGACTGTCTAGAAAGATATAGGTAGAATTTATTATGTACTTTTTTTTAAATCACGTTATGTGTAATGCAAACTTCAGTTTCTTTTTTATGTTCATTTAATACGTTTTTCCCAATTACACATAAAAACAATCTTTAACATTTGGGTTTTTTTTAATTTTGAGTTCCAAATTCTGTTCCTCCCTCCACTGCCTCCCATTTCATTGAGAAGGTAAGCAATTTAATAAAACATATTTCTGTATTAGTCATGTTGTGAAAGAAAACAGACCAAAAAAAAGAAAAGAAAGTTAAAAAAAAAAGTATGCTTCAATCTGCATTCCAACTGTGATCAGTTCTTTCTCTGGAGATGGATAGCATTTTTCACCCTAAGTCCTTGAAATTGTCTGGGATCACTGTATTATTGTGAGAATAGCTAAGTCATTTACAATTGATCATCATACAATATTGCCGTTACTGTGTACAATGTTCTACTTCTGCTTACTTCACTTTGCATCAGTTCATGTAAGTCTTACTTGGTTTTTCTGAGAGAATCCTGCTCATCACTTCTTCTAGTACAATAGTATTCCATCATAATCATGTACCACAATTTGTTTGGCCATTCCATCCCCTCAATTTCCAAATCTTTGCCACCACAAAAAGAGCTGCTATAAAAATTTTTGTACATATACATCTTGTTCCTTTTTTTTTTCATCTTTTTGGGATACAGACCTGGTAGTGGGATTGCTGGGTGGTGCATGGTTTTATAGCCCTTTGGGCATAGTTCCAAATACTCTTCAAAATGGTTGGATCAATTCATAACCGTGCCAATAGTGCATTAGTATCTCAATTTTCCCACATCCCCTCTAACATCTGTCATTTTCCTTTTCTGTCATATCAGCAAATCTGATAGGTATTGGGGGGGCACCTCAAAGTTGTTTTAATTTTCATTTCTCTACTCAATAGTGATTTAGAGCATTTTTTCATATGAATATAGATAAAATTTGATTCCTTCATCTGAAAACTGCTTCTATCACTTATCAATTAGGGAACAGCTCTTTTTTTTTATAAATTTGATCAAATTCTTCTTATTTTTGAAATGAGGCCATTGTCAGAGAAAAAATTCACAGTTTCATATGGAATCCTCTTTTCGTGTTCTGCTATATATATGGAAATGCTCTTTTTGGTGCTCAAGTTCAGATTCAGAATTAAAAATTTTTTTTAAGTATCAAAGAATTAATTATAGAAAAGCTGATGAGAAATTAAATGACTGGGATTAAATTAAATAGAATTAACATTAGAAAATATTACATTCTTATTTTAGAATAGCTGTATAATAAATACCTTCATTTAATGTGAATTTCTCCTTTATGCGGGCTATTTTGCAGTTCATACTTTGTGGTAGTTACATACTATATATAATGTGTGTGCATAATTGTTCTTTTCATCTTGTATTTTTGACCCAATTCTGCCAAATACATTTTGAAGTTATTTCTTAAACTATTTTTCAGAAAGACTGCAAAATATATAATGCTATCTAAACATGAAGATAACATCAGCAGCAGCAGAATATGAGTTTTCAATTTTAATGCCATAGTAGTAAAAGAGACAGACCATCCATTCATGTTTCTTGCCAGTTCCTTCTTATAATGAATGGCATGCCTGACCTCAGAAAATAGATATGGGTTAAAGATGTAGAGTCTTCAGTCATGGACTCAGACCCAAACGAAGACTAAATCTTGGCATCATTATTATAGCTCTAGTTCATGATAATGAAGTAACAATATCACTACTTTATACTTAGTCTCTTCAGAATAATTTAAAATATTATTAAAAATAATTTATATTCAGACACTCACATTTATACATATACACGTTAAATAAAGTATGTTCTGTTGAGTTAAAATGTAGCACTGTCTCCAAACACCTCATCTCAACTGTTCAATAATCAATTCAATAAATCAGACTATGTATGCACAATGCTTTACAAACCTTTAAGTACTATATAAGTGTAAACTATTTTCTATAAGTCATTTAAAATAACACTAACAATAGTAATAATAATGATAGCTAACATCTGTATAATGCTTACTTTGTGCCAGGCACTATGCTAAGTGCTTTATAAATATTACCACATTTGATCTTCACAACAACCCTGGGAGGTAGGAGCTACTATTTTTCCTATTTAAAATTGAGGAAACTGAAACACACAGAGGTTAAGTGACTTGCCCAGGGTCACACACAAATATAAAGGCATATCTGAACTCAGGTCTTCCTGACAAGTCTGGCTCTATCTTTACCTTTTTATCTACTGCATTACCCAGCACAAACGAAATAATGATGTAAGCATGATTAAAACCATATTGTTAATACAATTATGTTAATTTCATTACAAGAGAAGAAAAGTTTATGTATACATATTGTGATATGGTTTTCAGTTATTAATATGGTCTTTCCATCACTTAGTAGTATGCCATAAGACATAATTATTTCTTTCATTTTTAAACTGAAAAAACCTTATCTTAACCTTACTTATATTCTGAACAAAAAAAACACCTATTCTATTTATAATGTAATCTATGGTTGAGTTGATATTTGCTATGGTTTTAGTAAATTAAAACAAAGCTAGTACCACATTAAGTGGTACCAAAATGATTAGTAAAGGTGTAATTTTACAAGTAGATTGCATTATAAAGATAACAGAAGGGAGAGAGTTACTAAAATTCAAAAATGAAACACATCTGAAAAAGCAAACCTCTTGCACCAGCTAGACTAGATATTAACAATTTCTTAAGTATTAAAGCACTTAAACAACATACCTAAAGAGCCTTTGTTCTCTTGACAATTTGGTGGTATGTTTTCTTTGGCCATGGAGATTAATATTTTGCTATTTTCTGAAAGCTTTTCTACAGCATTGCTCTGGGGAAAAAAAGACAATCCATTTAAGGAGGGAAATAATCACAAAACATTTAATACGTCTTTATGTCTTTCACTTTTTTTACATTATAAAGTTTAATTATCAAAATACATTGTTTCAATATTGTAATGAATGATAATAATGTTATATGACTTTTCCAAAGCACCATGAACTAATATTAAACATTTTAATCATCCATGCTTAAGTACTTTAAAACATCATTATAAAAATATTTGCAATTCCATAGATTCATATATCCTATGCATCAAATGATTTCTCAAATGTATTTACAAATTGCATAGCTTTTTGTTGTTCAGTCTTTTTTTTCAATCATATCCAACTCTTCATGACCCATCTGGGGTTTTTTTGGCAAAAAGATACGGGAGTAGTTTGCCATTTCCTTCTCCAGCTCATTTTACAGATGAAGAGAATGAGGCAAACAGTATTAAGTAACTTGCTCAGGGTCATACAACTATTAAGTAAGTGTCTGAGGCCAGATTTGATCTCAGGAAGACAAATCTTCCACACTCCAGGCCCAGCACCCTATTCACTGCACCACCTAGTTATTCTATCACATAGCTACCACTTTGTAATTCAGAGATATTAGAAGAGAAATTATCTTTGTACCATGAAATAACATGATAATGTGATTCTAAATATGAGACATCATTAATAATTTTTTAAATCTCCTAAAAGATTCATTTTTGCCATTCTACAAATTGCTTTTAAGATGTTAACAGAGCCAAAAATTTCCTAAAATACAAATAAAAAAATTTTATTTTTTACAAAATTTTGGTACTTGAAAATTATTTGTAGTCATTAGCTTCAACCTCATTGCTTTTATGAAACATAATTTTGACAACTGTATCTATGACAGAAGTCAGAAACACTGAGATTCGAAACAGTTTAAAAGTTTACTTAGAACTAAGTTTATCCTGCGGCAGCTAGGTGGCACAGGACAGAGCACCAGCCCTGGAGTCAGGAGGACCTGAGTTCAAATCCGGTCTCAGACCAGACACTTGACACTTGCTAGCTGTGTGACCCTGGGCAAGTCATTCTAAAATTTGAGTTAAGTCAGATGCTTTAGTATTAAGATGATATTGGAATCTAACTTTTTCCTCCAACTTTTTACAATGGTAGTAGAACTCTTCAATTTAAACAACACTTGGTAGTAAAATACTTTTAAATCATATTTTTAATGCCTATGGTTATTTATGCTAAATAACATAAGGTTGATTTTGTAAATCTCATATTTCCAAATCAATTTTATAACATCTCTAACAATATCACAAACAACTCACTACAAAGGTGGTTTCTGCTTCCTATGTTTTATAACAGGAAGAAATGTTAACTAATGGCTCACCACTTAAGTAAGCAGCTTCACAACAACTTTAATTTTCTTCATTAACAGTATATTTGGGATTATTTCAGTTTATCAAATTTTTACTTAAAATTGAGAGTTCTGACTTAAAATTTCCTGTTTTATTTTTCAATGTCTTTATCATTCTAACAGAACGATTTTTAAATTGGTAACATAACAGGCACTGAACAACAAAACTACCAGAAGTTAACATGAACCAGAGATAGATATCACCATTCTACCTTTATGTCCATATAAGGAGGGTCTTTTTCCAACTCAGCTTTGTCTTTTGTCAGTTTAGCCTTTTGATCTTCAATAAACTGATCTAAATTATCAGCCATTCTTCAGATTCTAAAAATAAATTAAAAATAACACGATATTAAATATATGTTATGCCAATATGCATATCCTTACTACTATTTTTAAACCTTAAGCAATCCACATTTGGCATTCAATTTAGCTTATTTATTAACTTGAAAACTTCAAATGAAAAGCTGGACCAATTGAGATATTATACATAAAACACTTTGTAAACTTTCAAATATTACATAAATGAAATTTGGCATTCAATTTAGCTTATTTATTCCCTTGAGAATATCAAATGAAAAGATGCATCAACTAAAATAATATACATAAAAGAATTTGGAAACATTCAAGTATTTTATAAATGTTAGCTATGACTTATTCTTATCAAAAGATTCACTCAATCAATCAACAAGTCTTTATCAAATACCTACTGCATGCCACACATGGTGCTAGGTGCTGGGGACACAAAAACAAATATGGAACAACCCCTGCCTTCAAGAAACTTGTATTCTATCAAAGGAGACAAAATATGCATGTATAAGTATGTGTATGTATATACAAATGTGCACAGGCACATGCATATACACATACACACATAAATAGAGAATTAAGAAAAGTCAGCCAACAAACATTTATGTTTAAGACTACTATCACGCACTGTACTGAGTGCTGTAGGTAGAAAAAAGACAAAAGATAGTCCTTGGTCTCAAGAAGCTCATGGTCTAATGGAGCAAACAATATGTGAACAATTACTGACAAATAAATATATACAGGATAAAATGGAGGGAACAAAAAACAGGGGGAAGACCCAGCATCAAGGAAGGATTGGAAAAGCCTTCTGCAGAAGGCAGGAATTTAGTTGAAGCTTAAAAGAAGCCCAGGAAGTCCCGCCTTCTGCAGAAGGCTCTGAAACCTTGAAAAATAAAGATTCTTAGAGGAGGAGCAGAGTAGAATGTATGCCAAGTGCTGAGGACTTACATACAAAGGTATCAAGATAACAGATAAGTGTTAAATCTTAGGAAATAAGACCAGTTCAGTAGGACTGAAACAATGGATAATGAGAATTGGAAAGGTAGGTTGGGGCACAGTTGTTAAGTTATATTTTATTAAAAAAGGTTTTGTACAAATAAAACTAATGAAGAAAAAATTTTAAATGCAGATAAATCAAAAAAAAATCTTTGCAGCAAGTTTCTCTGATAAAGGTCTCATTTCTAAGACACAGGAACTGATTCAAACTTATAAGGAAGGATATGAACAGTCATCAGTTTTCAAAGGAAGAAATTCAACCTATCAAGAGTAACAGGAAAAAATGTTCTAAATCACTATCAGAGAAATGCAAATTAAAATACCTCTGAGGTACCACCTCACATCTATTAAATTGGCAAAGCTTATCAAAAAAATAGGAAAATGTCAAATACTAGAGGGGCTATGGGAGAACAGGTATATTGTTGCACTGTCGATGGAACTGTGAATTGATCCAGCCATTCTGGAAAGCAATATGAAATTATTCTCAAAACACTACTACACTGTGCATGCCCTTTGACCCAGCAATACTATTACTACATCTATACTCCAAAGAGATCAAAGAATAAGCAAAAAGACATATCTATGTATATATATGTATATGTATATACATACAGACATATATATGTGCGTATGTGCGTGTGTGTATCAGCTCTTTTTGTGGCAGCAACGAACTGGAAAGTGGGGGGGGGCTCATCATTTGAGGAATGACTGTACAAGTTATAGCACTGAATGCTGGTATATCACCAGGTACTGTAAGAAATGATGAAGGGGATGCTTTCAGAGAAACATGGGAAAACTTATACGAACTGATTCAGAGTGAAGTGAGAAGAACAATTTATATAATAATAACATTTATGGTGAAAACAACTTTGAAAGACTTCTTAGAACTCTGAGCAACACAATGATCAAACATAATTCCAGAGGACTCATGATTAAACAAGCTACTACATATCCTGGTGATGGACTCAGAATGCAGATTAAGATATATTTGTTTGGAGACAGCCAATGCAGGAATTTGTTTTACTTGACTATACATATTTGTTACAAGAGCTTTGTTTTTCTTTTTCTTTGGGAGAAAGGAGTGGGAAAGAGAAGAAAAATTTTTAACTGAAAAAAAATTTTTTTAATATTTATATTTCATCTTGGGGTCAATAAGTAGCCAACAAAGTGTTTTGAATAGAGGAGTGACAGGTTCACTTTAGCAGTGATGGGAAGGAGGGATTAAACTGGAGAGAAACTTGAAGCATGGAGAACAATTAGGAATCTATTGCAGTATTCCAGTTAAGGGGGTGATGGCTAAGTGAATGGAGAAGGGGATAAATACGAAAAAATAGTATGGAAGTAGAAATGAAAAGATTTGGCATCTTGATCCGAAATGCAGACAACACCAAGACTGTGAACCTGGGTAACTGGAAGAACACTGGTGCCCTCGATGGAAATTGGGGATTTCAGAAGGGGAGAGGGCTTGTGGAGAAAGAAAACTAGTTAAGTTTTGGTTATCTTGAGTTTAAGATGCCTATGAGGCAATCCAGTTTAAAATATTCAACAGGCCAGTGGAGATACAACTAAATACAACACATCTAGAGTTTAGGAAAAAGTCAAGCGACAGACAAACAGAAAGACAGATGGATAAATTTGAAAGTCATTTGCATAGAGATAACAATAAAACCCAAGTCTCAGGCAAAGGGTGCTAACACACTGTTTTTTAGACCATCTACAAACATTAACTTAACTGCTACTCACTCTAAATTTGAAGATTTTTTCTCCAAAAATAAATGAGATGACTAGAGATACTGAACCACATCAAAGCTGACATTCTTGCGGTAACATGAAACCAGAAGACATAAGGAAATTATAGCTAAATAAAGCATGGTTCATAGGTCCCAAAGGTAGCAAAGAATAAAAGAGTTGGTGGGGCTGGATTTATTGTGTGCTCTAAAAGAAGAAACATCATTTCATAGTATATTTATCTCACCTTGTAATTATAAGAATAAATAAAAAGGCCACCATGGGATTCAAATTCTGCTTGAACTCACTACCTATGACAAGATTTACTTATCCTGTAAGATGAGGAGATTGGGCTAGATGACTTCTCAAAGTCCTTCCAGCTTGTATATTTGAAAATGAATATGATATAAAAACAAAAGATATCAACAAACATTTTTAGAAGTTCCAGACTCACCTATTTAAACAAGCTATTGGCACCAGGCAAAAAAGGCAAAGTGCAGAGAAGTACAGGCTTAATTCTGATTATCACTACTTGGACAAGTTTAACTGTTGTAAAACAGTCACCACAACAAGAAAGCCAAAAGATTCCAGGAACCACCTTTCAGAAAACATAAGATCTTTTTCAAGTGAAGAGTCATGGCAACCTACGTGGGAGGTGGAAGGGGAGGCTACTTAAAGAAAGCTTAGCAGGATACTCAACTACACTAGATCACTTTAGTTTAAATTTATAGAGGCAAATAAATAAATACAAAATGGTACAGATTTGACAAAATTTTTGAAGGACTCTACTCTCAACAACAATGACTCTGTGCTATATGAGGAAGCAGAAATGACCTTTAAAAGGATAAATTCACAAGGGGTGGAGAACCCAACCAAATACACACAAGTGCAAGTTTGAAGCAAAGCAATTTCGAAGGCACTCAGATACCAACTTTTAAGCTATCTAAAGGAGTAAAAGATACACAAAAGCATGGGGGGAAAGGAGAGACTCACAAGCGGTATTAATACAAAAAAAAAAACTGACCACAGATTGACAGAGAAGTATAGAAAAAATAGCAGTTTGCTGTTATTGTTTTGTCTAATTGCCAAAAAACATCTGGCCTTAGAGGCTTTCCTCCAAAAAGATGTTTCTCATGTATGCCATAGAAGTATGCATGCCGAAGCAGGAATTTGGAAATCTGTTTTGCTTGATTATGCATATTTGTTGCAAGGATAGTGTTTCTATTTCTTTTCCAGTGGGAGGGGGGGGGTGGAGGGGAGAGATGGTACCAGACTGGGATACCAAAAAAAATAATTTTTTGTCCATTTAAAAAAAAAGAAAATAATACTTAAAAGAAAAAAGAATTGACTAGAAAACACTAGTCTCCAAACTAGGGGCCATGGCATGATCACAAAGAGTATGTGGAACAAGAAGTACAGAAAGATAGTTCATATCCATTTTACCCCTGAAGGATTTTGAGGCTGTCTCTAACAACCACACTATTCTTTTTATCCTTTTATCTATCCAGCAATCCCTATTTCCCTTCCTACTACTGCCTTCCCGTGGCTGAGCAAACTCCCAACCTCTCCCTGCTCTCTAGGAGATGGTCCCTCCTTCAGGAAGTTAAGCACCCACACCAACAGTTGTACAGGCCAGATAGCACTCCTCCTCCCCCAGCATACCCACACCCACAAACCCCAGATTACACTGTGTTAGTTTAAGCAGGGGCCCCTTGAAGGAGCTCGTTCTGTGCTCCAGGACAAAATACACACCTCTTTCAATTATCTATTTCTGTCAAGAAGCTTTTCTAGTTGGAAACATGGGTGTCACACTCTCTCTCACCCCATATATCCACTCAGGTGCCAAATCTTAAAGTTTCTCAAATCTGCCCCTTTTCTCCATACCAACCTAATTGAATGCTTTACCCCTTCTCACCTGGGGTCTTCTAATTATTCTCCCTGCCTCAAGATTCTCTCCCTCTCAAATCCCTGCCCCACACAGCTGCCAAACTCATTTTCCTAAAGCATAGATCTGGCCATTTCATTCTAGTGCTCAACCAAGGTGACTCCCTACCGACACTTGGAGAAAATGCTATTTCTTCCTTATCTCAACCTTTTTAATTTCTTTGTATAAATTTCATAATGCATATAATTATTCGCACAACAGCACATGCACACTTATGTAATTTGTTAATAAATATGCATCTAGTGTAGTTGAACGCCTAAAAAATTTTACTGATGGAATGCAGAATCAAAAACGTTTGCTTAAAAAAAAAAGAAAAAGAAAAAAAAGGGGCAGCTAGGTGGCTCAGTGGATAAAGCACCGGCCCTGAAGTCAGGAGGACCTGGGTTCAGATGTGACCTCAGACCAAGCACTGGACACTTACTAGCTGTGTGACCCTGGGCAAGTCACTTAACCCCAATTGCCTAAAAAAAAAGAAAAGAAAAAGAAAAAAGTTTGGAAACTATGGGACTAGAAGGAAGAAAGTGAGCTATCCCATATGCTAAGAAGTTATCTAAACCTTCCAACAAGCCAAAACTGCTTCCTAACATAACAGCCCATCTTTGCAGGTGCAATATTCTTCTGCTCTATAACTTTGAATTGTAAACCATCACAATCTCTAGAGAATCAAAACTACAGATGACAGAAAAGGCAACAGAAAGATGTGCAGTGAAAGTAAACCAGCTCTAATACATTACCAATGAAAACTTAGATGCAGAAATTGGTGTAAGACATCAATAAGGAAATACATGATCAGAAAAAGAGGCAGGCTAGTTTATAATTCCAGTAGTTTAACTGAATTATTTTAAGGGAAATCAGTTCCAACTTTTCTCAGCTACCTTTCACAAAGGTCTCCAACTCAAGAGGCAGCATGACATATTGGAAGGAAAAAATCCTGGAGCCAAAATAAGAAATCCAAGGTTTGGGTCCCAACTATGTCAATCACTAAATGTGGGACTTTGGACAAGTTCACTTAATTTTTCTAGGCCTCAACTTCCTCATTCCTAAAAATAAGGAATGTATGTGTGCTAGCTATTCTACATGGTGCTGCAAGGCTCATATGACATAGCATTTTTTAACTGTAAAGTATTACATAAACTATTATCTTCATCCCCATAGTCACACACACATAAACTATGCCTGTAAACAAAGCCTCACAAACACAAGCTAGTAACTACAACTTAACACACCAACATATGAGGAAACTTGATAACCATAATATATACTCATATAAAATATTGCCAGCAACACAAGCAAGATGTCATCTAGCCTATATTTTATAATACAGGTTAAACATAGATACACACACAAAATGTAATTAATGTACACTGACTAATCAAAACACATTTTAAAAAACTTTAAGTGGTAGTTCAAATTATATTAATTTAATACTATATTACTTGAATTATATGAGGCCATCAGTTAGGCCTTAAAATTTTTTTAATTACACCAAAATTTTGATGAAATGGGATTTAACCTAAAGCCATAATCACAATTAATCAATGTGTGTGTGTGTGTGTGTGTGTGTGTGTGTGTGTATTCCCAACTTTCTGAGATTCTGACACTCTCCTAATATCGGCTGGATTTTACATTTCTTTCCTTAACTAAAATGGTATGTAATACATTTTTAACATAACATGTTATGTTATTTTTACATGTTAAATTATATTCCTGAGGGGCAGCTAGGTGGCAGAGTGCATAGAGCACTGGCCTTGGATTCAGGAGGAGTTCAAATCCAGCCTCAGACACATAACATTCACTAGCTGTGTGATGCTGGGAAAGTCACTTAAGACGTTGCCTAAAACAAAAAAAAAGAAAACTATGTTCCTGAAATAACTATATATTAGGAAAGTCCTACTTTGATTCCCTCCTTTTGAGTACTGCTCATTGGAGGCACCACAATTCTCTCAAATGTTATGCCAGCAGAGCACAAGCTCTAAGTCTAACCACACTGGAAAGACTTTGAATGTGGATCCAACAATGAATCCTCTATCTATTGTTAAGGAATAACCTAAGTCCAGGTGGGACACATGGTGATGAATTTCTCAGTCAGATTAACTGTTGAAGATGTGGTATTAAATTATAGATGCATTTCAGCCTGCATCAATGTTGGAAGCACCCACACTAATGAAATCAAAAATCTTTCAAGTGCTGAAGTATCAGAAAAGAAATGTAATTGCAAAAGCAAAATACAGTGGAAAAAGCATGGATTTGGAGTCAGAGGACCTTGATTACAATGTGACCTAAAGCAAGTGCCTTAATCTCTTACTCCAATTACATGTGACAGATTGCTACTCGCTAATTTATTTTTCAAACAAGCTCCAGAAAATATATTGGCACACTGTTTGATGTCTCCATATTTCCAAAAATACATTCCTTAAACTCTCCTGAAAGGAAGGTCAGTACTGCAAAGGATACACATTTAAAAGGCTCCATTCTATTTACAAGAGCTGGAACACAAGAATCTTCAAGGAGTCACAAGGAACTTTCCTTAATTCAAACATTTACTGCATATCTACTACGTACAAGGCATTTTGCTAAGCAATGGGATTTAAAAATAAAAAGGTTGAAAAACAACACAGCTCCTACTCTTATGAACTTAAAACTTATTCACAAAGGGGATAGGACATATTTGTACACAAATAAGTATAATACAAGAGGCAAAAAATTTTTCAGAAAAATGAAGAGATTCAAAGTACCCTAAAAAAATCTGAGGGGATAAACCTTAAAAAGAGAAGGCTTTCAACAGAGGTAAGGAGGTACAGTCCCAGTATGGAAGACAGCCTGAGAAAGGAGATAGGAAGCAGCAGAATTACAGATCAGGGAATGGCCCAGTTTAGTTAAAATTAAAGAGCTGGAGAAGGGAAACAGAATCACAGATGTAGAGATAGAAGTAAACTTATAGATCATCCAGTCCAACACTCATTTTACAAATAAGGAAACTAGAAATGACTTGCCCAAGGTCAGACAGGTAGTAAATTACAGTGAGGATTTGAATTGTTTCTGTCACTCCAGATTCAGAACTCTTTCTGGAAATGTAGGTGGGAGATATATTATGGAGGGTATTAGATGCCAGTCTAAAGAGTCTTTTATACTTTAGGAAAATGCTACCATATATATTTGAGCCAACAAAGGAATTATTTTTTTCCCCAGTTGAGTATTTCCAGAACATCTAATATACCATCGGATATGTCTGCAGAACACTTCCAATCATAGAAACGACTATTTGCCACATCTTGAAGCAGCTTTGAAATATTTCTAATAGCCTTCAAACAGAAATTTTCAGCCAAAACCCAGTCTGTCAAGGTCACTTTGAATTTTTATTCCCAGTTTCCAACTTGTTAGCAAGCAGCAAGATAAAAGTTCATAAACATTTCCACTTAATGATATACACAACTTTTGAATTATAGCATTTTGGAGCTGAAAAGGATCTTAAAGATCATTTAGTCTCAACTCCTTCATTTTACAGATGAGAAAACCAATACGCCTGAGGTCATCTTCAGCTAAAGACATACACCTAGGCAGAGCTGGTAAAATAGGGTTTCCTCATTTATGGCTCGATGCTTCTTCCATTATATCATGAAATTGCTATGAAACTTACTCCAGAGCTAATCCCTCCTCCCGGAAAAACATCCTGTATAAGATGTTACCCTTTGGGAAGCTAGCTCTCTCCAAATATTAACGCGGCCCCCATAAACGGCTGAAGTTCCTCCAAACTTGTGGATTTCAGTAAGTTGCTTTTTAATTCCATCCTTAATGATACACACATCACCAGGTATCGCCTTCCTCCACCTGCACGCTCCTACTCCCATAAAGGGCCATTGCTCCGCAGTGATTTGCTTCCCCGCCCCCGTGTGTGCTACTGGAGCCTGGCCGCTCTCCGAACCGGCGAAGCCCTATAGCAGCCTCGGGCGTCGCTCTGGTCTCCTTACCGGCGGGGCGCCTTTCCCAGGCCATCCCTCGTCACGAAGCTGTCGCCCGGCTCTCCATCAGACACAAAGCGGAGCCAGCTCGAAGCCCCAGGGAGGAGTCCCGGAGGAGGCCCCCCGAGGCGGGCGGCGCTCAGCCCGGGAGGGGCGGACAAGGCTTGGTCTGCGGGCCCCTCGGTCAGTAGCGGCCGCAGGGCGCAGCCAAGAGCCGCGGCATCTCCTGTTGTCAGGCAACCAGGTTACAACAAATCGGGCCGCACCCCGGCGCCGAGCCCCGGCTCCGGCTCCAGGCGCGGAGCCCCCACAACCCTCAGGACAGGGTCGGAGCCTCAGGCTAGCCGGGCAGCCGAAGCCGGCCTGACTCTGCCCAGACCCGGAGGGCTTTCACTTCACGGAGGAAGACGCCTGGGCGGCCTCTAGGGCGCCCCCCGCCGAGCTACGGCCTCCTCTACCCACGAGTCTCTGCCAGTGACAGCTCCTCTGCCTCCCGCAGCATCCCAGCGCGTCCAGCAACGGCCAGAGGCGCCCCTCCCCCCAGAAGCCGCGCGGGGCAGGGCCTTGCGCCCCCTGGCGCTCGGGAGGCTTCCCGCGCTGCCTCCGCCCTAAGTGCCCTTCTGCTCGCGGCCCTCTCCTCCTCTTTCTCGTCCCGGGAGCTTCCAGTGCAGACGGTAACCCCAGGGACGCCCGCAAGCACAGCGCGAAGAAAACTCAGAAGCTTAAAGAAGGAGCGGGGTTGGAACTACGGGAGCTTTCTTCATGCTTCTCACTCCAAGCCAGTATTTCTCCTTTTTTTCTTCAGCCCCAGTGTAGGCCTTTTAAATTATCATTTGCACCATTTCAGAATTTCTTAGAGTTAGAAGTGGAAGGGATCTCCGAGGTAATCTGGTAGGCTACGCCCTCACTTTACAGATGACAAAACTTGTAGGTAAACCTTGGTCCTCCGGACTCCAAACCCACTTCAAAAGCCATCTTCTTCCCAAGTCACTGATGATTGCCTACTTATCCTGCCACACATGCTCTCACCTCCCCCGCCCCCCGCGCAATTAAGGAATCATTTATACATTTCTTGCTGTACATTCTACCTTGTATTGCAATATTTGTATCTGCAGCCTCCGGCCCTGTTAGGTTGCAGGCTCTATGACCATTGGGGACATGTCTTAATCTTTGTATTCCACACAGCACCTAGTGGCTAACATACAGGCATCCCATAAATATTAAAGGGAAGGACTGTAATTCACAAGACAACCATAACAGCTGATACTTGTGTAGAGCTTTAAATTTTTCAATGTCTGATGTAGGTTGCTACCACTTCCAAGGACTGGCAGTCAGTATCATGCTCTATCAGGGGAAATGATAGTCAAGTAAGAGAATCTTCTAGCAATACTGACAACCTCAAATGAGCTCAAGTTATTTTTCCCTCCTCAGGTGCAGTACAAAGTTTCTTACAGAAACAGCGGCCAGTCAACCTTCAGCAGTTCACATATAGCAGGTTACACAATCACCCCCTCCTTTATCTGTAAAATGAGATTGTACTGTATAATTGGCAGTCCCTTTCAGCTCCACTGTTCTACAATTTTAAGACAAAAGGGCCAAAGCCCATAAGACAGAAAAATCTTCAATTCTGCAGGTGCCACAAAAGAACATGATCAGTTAGGTGACACAGTGGACAGTGTTGGACTTGGAGTCTGGAAGACCTGAGTTTGAATCCTGACTCAGATAGTAACCAGTTGTGGGAATCCAGGCATGTCACAACCTCAGTTTCCTCTCCTGTAATATGGGATAATGATAGCATCTACTTCACAAGGTTACTGAGGCTCAAATACTAGCTGTTATTACTGTAGCTCCAGAAGGTCGAAGTATGAAGTTAAAAGGAAGCAGACTTGGGGTTACAAGAAAGACTAACTGTACAGAATTTGAACTGGCTGTCTCCATCACTGGAGATGGCAAACCACACTTAGCATAATGCCCAGCACATAGTAGGTACTTAATAAATGTCTGTTGAAGTGAATTATAAGACTCTTCTCTGAGGTAAGATCATAGGATCAGGATTCTATGACTACAGGATTTCTATGTCACTGTCAACTAAATTCACTAGTAAGCCTTGCTTATTAATGACAGTCTAATCCCATCCCACAGTAGAGGTTCAGGTCCAGCCCCACTCTACCCACTCTGGCATTTGAGACACAAATAGAAGACACTCAGAAATTTTACTATCACTTCTTCAAGATTCAATTCCTTCAAATGTCCTTGCAGCATTTGCCTTTTGCCATAGTATCTAGTCAAATCAACCACATTTTTAAAAAATGAAAGGAAACGATTTTTAAATAAAACTATTCTCAAGATGACTCTGTAAGTATCAATATGCAAGTGGGCTTAATGAATAAATGAAAATGTATTTATTAAGTGCAAAGCCGTGCTAAGTAGTAAGGATATAAAATTCTCAAAATCACTGCTTCTTTAAGATCCAGTTCCTTCAAATGTCCATGTGTCGATTGCCTTTTGCAATGGTATCTAAGGCAAATCAATCACACAAAAAGAAAAAAACGAAAATCTTTCTTTAAAAATGTTTTAAATAAAGCTATTCTCAAAATGATACAACTATCAATATGCAAGTGAAATTAATGAATAAACTACAAAAGCATTTGTTAAGCGCTTGCTAAAAAAAAAAGTGGCGTTATAAAGTAATAGTGCTCCTATTTAACTCCTAATAGGAGCTTCTGTTCTATTAAGTAGCCTTTAAATGTTCACTTAAGTACACCGAGCTTCGCTGCAGGGCTTACCAATGCCTCTTCTGACAGAAAGGGGACGCTCCGCCAGGCAAACGCAAGAAACGACCAGCACCGGGGAAGGGCTTGGCGGGGAGGCCACGGCTACGCTCGTTTGTCGTAATGCTCTCGTGCCCTACGAGTCCCCGCTAAGGAAAACATTCCGGTTCGCATTCCACTCACCAGGCAGCCCTAGTCCCCTCAGTCCTCTATCTTCTGAAAACTCGTAATGCTAATTAAATTTTTTTTTCTCTTCCTCCTCCGGCTCCTAGGAACCTACACCCACAAAAGACTCTTTTTCCACTTAAAAGCCCGCCGCTTGACCACTTTTAAATATGATGCCTTTCAGTCATGCGCAATACGGGCGTCGAAAGCAACGCAAGCCCGTGCCGTGACGCAAGGGCCCCTCCCCCTCAGGGCGTCGGGAGAGATTGTACCATTCTCCCAGCTGCTAAATAGGTTGTGGTAGAATCCACCTAGGGAACTCAAAATATAACGCGTCATAATTTTCTCCCACTCGTATCCCCTTTTTTATTCTTGTGGCTTTATAGGTTCGTAGCCGCTGCTCACACGATCTCTTGCACCCGAAGACGGGACCCCCCTCCCTCCGCTTTCCTTATAGTCCGCGCCGCCCCGATCCCAGGCTCCCGGTGTCATGGCAGCTCCGAGAACCTGTTAACTGAGGGCTGCGTTACGGCGGGGGACGAGGGTCACAAGGTCTCGCCCCGCGGCCGGGGCGGCGGGGAATCGGAGCGGGGCTGAGGGGGCGGGGGCGCGGGGAGGGCCTGCGGCGTCTCCGCGGCGATGGCGGCTTCGGGGAGCGGCATGGCCCAAAAGAGCTGGGAGCTGGCCAACAACATGCAGGAAGCCCAGAGCATCGACGAGATCTACAAGTACGACAAGAAGCAGCAGCAGGAAATCCTGGCGGCCAAGCCCTGGACTAAGGAGTGAGGAGGCCCCGGGGGGCGGGGGTTACGGGGCGGGAGGGAGGGGGAGGGAAGGGGAGAGGCCGTGGCCTCCGGGGCGGGCCTGCACTTGGACTGCTCCCCCCACGCACCCCCCACTGATCAATCGGGGGCTGCCCTCTGCGCGATCGTAGGACACCCAGGCGTGAGAGCCGGCGGGGAGCCTGGGGGTCATCCATTCCAGTCCCTTCTGTTTTACGGAGGTGAGGAACTGAGGCTCAAAGTGACCCTTGTCCGAGGTGGCCTCGGTCGGTCGAGGGATCCAGGGTCTCCCCTATGGAAGGCTCGTCATCTCTCTACTCTTATCATTTCTCTTCTGAAGCAAATTGGGGTCAAATGTAGGGGTTCTCCACCTTTTTGTGGGGGGAAGCATCCCTTTGGCAAGTCAGGTCAGCCAGCAAACATTTATTAAGCACCTACTGTGTGCCAAGCTACTAAGCCCTTGGAGAGTCAGAGAAAGGCAGAGGACAGCCCCTGTCCTCAAGGAGCTCACAGTGTAATTGGGGAGACAACACGCAGACCACCGTGTATTAGCAATGGACCGCATAAACTGGAGAGAAGCAACAGCCAGAGTCAGGAAAACAGGTAAAGGAGACAGGAAAGACAGGGAGGAGTCAGGTTATGAAGAGCTCTGAACTCCAGGTAGAGGAATTTATATCTGATGTAAATTATGTAAAGCCTATGGCCCCCTTCTCAGAAGAGTGTATTTAAATGGATAAAATAAAATATATTGTACTACAAAGGAATGTTCTTTTGAAATTTAGTCATCAGAATATTTTGAAAAACAAGGTCATGGATCTCGGTTAAGAACTGATCAAGGGAGTAGTAGAGCTTGGGATTCAAACCCAGGTCCTCTAACTCTAAAGCTTCAAGGTTTGGGGGTTTCCTGAAAAAGTATGGTGAAGTGTCTCCTCTTAGAAGCTCTCAATAGGGTAGAGCACTGTCTGTAATGAATGCCTGGGAGCTGCCTAAAGGGTGTAATATGGAGGGCAAATCCCTCTCTCTAAAAATATATAGAAGAACCATTAAAGATTGTTGAGGTAGAGAATCACAGAATTCAGCTTTGGGAGGATCCTACCAAAGTGGCAAGTGTTTTTAACCCATACCTAAAAGGAAAATTCCCCTCTACAAAATACCCAACAAGGCAGTCATCCAGCCTGAACTTGAAGACCTCTAATGGGTGGGAAGCCTGCTTCTTCACAGGCAGCTCAATCCACTTCTTCATAATTCTGATTCTTTTTTTTTTTTTCAATATATCTAGTGTTTTATTTTTCCCTCAATGACATGCAAAAGCAATTTTTAACATGCCTTTTTAAAATTTTGAGTTCCAAATTCTCTCCCTTTCACCCTCCCTATCCCCCCTCATTGAGAAGGCAAACAATTCAATATAGATTATACATGTGAGGTCATGTAAAATATATCCATAACAGTCATATCGTGAAAGAAAACAGACAAAAAAACCCAAGAAAAATAAAGTAAAAAAAAATATGCTTCAACCTGTATTCAAACGCCATCAGTTTTTTCTCTGGGGATGGACAGCATTTTTCATCATAAGTCCTTCAGAGTTGTTTTGGATCGTTCTATTGCTGAGAATAGCTAAGTCATTCACAGCTGATCATCTTACAGTATTGCTATTACCTTGTGCACGGGACACTTCACTTTGCATAAGCTCAAGTAAGTCTTTCCAGGTTTTTCTGAGAGCATCCTGCTCATCATTTTTTATAGCACAATAGTATTCCATCGCTTTCACATACCGCAGTTTGTTCAGCCATTCCCCAATTGCTGGACATCCCCTCAATTTCCAATTCTTTGCCACCAGAAAAGAGCTGCTATAAATGTTTCTGTACATACAAGTTCTTTTCCTTTTTGATCTCTTTTTGGTTACAGACCTAGAGGTGGTATTGCTAGGTCAAAGGGTATGCAGGGTTTTATAGCCCTTTGGGCATGGTTCCAAATTGCTCTACAGAATGGATGAATTACCATAACTCTTAATTCTTAATTTTTTCATAGGATCAGAAGTTTACATCAAACCTAGGTTTACCTCTTTAAGACTGTTACCCTTTGCTCATCATTTTATACGTGAAAAAAGAGGGAAATAGCACCTACTAAGTACTTTTTATATCCTTGAGGTAGGTGTTATTGTCCCCATTTCACAGTTGAGGAAACTGAGGTAAACACATTAAGTAACTTACCCACACAGCTAATAGGTGTCTAAAGCTGGATTTGAACCCAAGTCTTCATGATTCCAAGCCCAGCACTCTACTCTGCTCTGTAACTTGCTAGCTGCTCTCCAACCCTAAACTCAAACCCAAATCTCCTTACTAAGGATTCTTTCTACTTTTTTTTCCAATTCTTACCTCCAGTTAAAATACAAATACTTTGGGGAACAATAAGGTTTTTTCAGTCATTTATACTTTAGTATCAGTATTAGCAGATCATATGATTCAGAACTGAATGGGACCTTAGAGATCCAATCCCTTCATTTTACAAATGAGGAAATAGAAAGCTAGGGAAGTAAGTGACTTGTCCATAAGACACATAGGTAGTATATAGGAGAGGCAGAATTTGAATCCAAGTGTCCTGATTCTTAATCAAATGTGCTATACCTGAAGAAAGACTATTCAGGTCCATGCCAACAGGACATGCTTTTATTCAGTGTATACCATATACATTGTACTTTATTCTGTGTACTGAAAATGAAAAATACATAATATAATAAGGATAGATGCAGCCATGCTAAACTTAGAGGGGGAAAAAATTACTAGTCTGCTCACGTGACATTTTTACAAGAACACTGGTTTGTGATTTGAGTGAGTTGTAGGAATTTTCTGTATGTGTGACTTTTTTTTCAGAATACTAACATCTCTCATTCCCTACATCCTACAAGGAGTAAGAGTCCTTTAATGTTTCCTCTTCCCAGCCATCCCCTCTACCTTTTCCTTTTACATTTCCAATTTCTGTTGTGCTTTAACTTATAAAAAGCATTCTAGGAAATTGTGCTTTGCATAGTCAAGCTAATTTTACAATATACTTTGTTTTTGTTTTTTAGTCACCATTACTTTAAGTACTGCAAGATCTCAGCCTTAGCCCTGCTGAAAATGGTGATGCATGCTAGATCAGGAGGCAACTTGGAAGTGATGGGTTTGATGCTCGGGAAAGTGGATGGTGAAACCATGATCATTATGGACAGTTTTGCTTTACCAGTAGAGGGCACAGAAACTCGAGTTAATGCCCAAGCCGCTGCATATGAATATATGGCAGCATATATAGAAAATGCAAAACAGGTAAAAAAATATTTTAAGTAAAAAGCTTTCACAGCAACAATAAGGTATATACTTGAGATGTTATAGGAAAAAAATCTAGCAATGAACTGTGTAGTAAAACATGTTTCAAATTTATTTTCTCTAATGACTTTGCATGTAATGTATATATTAAATAAGATTAAACATAATAGTGATTTACAGTGGGTCTTTTTCAATATCAAGTCATTGTGCTTATGTATTTTAATATTTGTTGTGAATGTTATCATGTATTCTCTTTTTGCATAATTATTGGTAAATAACCAAAAGACAGGTGATTCTAAAGTGGGATGAGTCTTGGCATTTAACCTGACATTTTTGTTCTTCGCTGTTAGGTGGGTCGACTTGAAAATGCAATTGGCTGGTATCACAGCCACCCTGGCTACGGTTGTTGGCTCTCTGGGATTGATGTTAGCACCCAGATGCTCAATCAGCAGTTTCAAGAACCATTTGTAGCAGTAGTTGTAAGTATTCTGGTTACTAAGTTCACGATAGAATTGTGAAATGAGATTCACTTAAGTTTATATATTAGTAAATGAGAATATCTATCCACAATTTCATTTGGTTTGCCATGTAATCAGTGATTAATACCTGTCAAGAAGGGATCTGCCATTGAGAATGTGGTATCAGAGAAAGAACACTGGGTTAGGAGTCTGGAAAACAGGAGTTTGGAGGGGGGCAAGTCTTGCCTTTCTCTTAAAACTCAGTTTCAACTTTAAAATAAGAGGGACTAGTCAGGGATGGGGAGCCTGTGGCCTCAAGGCCACATGTGGCCCTGGTCCTTAAGTGTGGCCCTTTGAATCCAGACTTCATAGTTAATAAAAGGATTTATTCTGTAAAACTTGAACTCAGTCAAAAGGCTGAACCCAAGGGCCTAGAAGGTCACATGTGACCTTGAGGCCACAGGTTCCCCACCCCTGGACTAGATACCTCAGAGGTACCTTCTAATTCTTAAATTCTGCTAACTCATTGCATGACCATGAGTAGGTCCAGTAACCTCTTTGCTCTTCAGTCTCTTCGGCTATAAAATGGTAATATCTTTTACATTGTTGGTCGCCATTTAAGAAGAAATAGTGAAATATATCAAGTTCTTTCATTTTTGCCTCTGTTGAAAATGGGAGAAAAGGTTTCCTCCCAGTCCCTATCAGATTCTCGCAAAGAATCACTGTTGGAGTATCTGGCAGCCCATGTGTGGCTGCCATGCACCAGAGCTCAAGAGCATTCATGTAGGAAACATGTAGCTACCATGTAACTAGGGCCTCACAGGAACAGAACAGTGTGAGTATGATGGAGATGGTTATCTCTCGATATATAAACTTGAAGAGGACTTCCTGCTTCTCTAGGTTTCTGCAAACCTGTGTTGGAAATCACAAGTCAGAATTGGATTAATTTCAAGTTTAAAAAATAGGTGATAGCTATTGATGGCATTTTTAAAAAAGGTCATTAACAATTGTCCCCAAAAACATTTTTTTTGTTTTGGGTTTGTTTTTTTTGACTAGGCAATTGGGTTAAGTGACTTGCCCAGAGTCACACAGCTAGTAAGTGTTATGTGTCTGAGGCCGGATTTGAACTGAGGTCCTCCTGAATCCAGGGCCGGTCTTCTATCCACTGTGCCACCTAGCTGCCCCCCAAAAAAAAAATTTTAAATGCAATATTTTCTCTCTTTCTTATTGATCCCTTTCATTTTTCATACCACATTCATTTTCAGACATCTCACATCTACACCCACAAATGACCCCACCATGAACTCTCCTTTGTAAAAAGGAAAAACAGTTGAGCAAAACTGAGTAAGTCCAGCAGTTAGGTGATGCTTTGCTCCATCTGGAAGCAAGGAAAGGAGTCTGTTGTATGTATCGTTTGTTCTTTGGTACCAAGATTAGTTATTGCAATGCATGTGATTTCTGCTGCCTTTTAAGATTGTTTTAGGTTTACATTGTTATGATTATCGGCAGCATTGTTCTACTTTTGCTTACCTCACTACTTTATTCTCTATGAGTCATCCCAGATTTCTCAGAACTCTTAAGCCGTTTCTTGTAGCACAGTAAAGTTTCATAACATTCTTATGTTAATGCAGTGTTTTAGTACTCTTGATCTTTGCATTAAAGTAAAGGTCAACTAGTTTTTAAGTGGTTCATACTCCAAAAGAGGAAACCTGGTGTAGTAGTTGGAGAGTTAACTATGGAGCCAGGAAATTCTGCCGTTGACACATAATGGCTGTGTAACACTCCTTATTGCATGGTTGTGACCCTGAGTTCTTCAAGGCAACAGAGCACAAGACTTTGAGATTGACCCCAGTGTCTAGACTATAGTCTCTCATTTGCAGATGAGCCTAGTTAAACTTGGAAAGATTCACTGGCTGTAGCACCTAATAAAGACTGTCTACTGGGATAAGAAGATACTGTGGTTTGAATCAGTACAAGAACTAGGCATACCAATAAATCACAAAGCTTTAAACTGTTGAAGTAACCACCCCAGATTTAGTACTGTAGAACTTGAATATCACATATAACCATGTTTCTATGAGAATTCCTATTTAAAATGCCTAGAACACATTTTCCCTGGCTCTAATAGTTCCAGTAGATGTAAGGGCTCCCTGAGATCCAGGCCAATAATGGCAGACTTACTTAATAATCTAGGATAGGGGCTCCATTTAACAAAGTGGCTAAAGGGGTGGTGGCACTTCCCTCCTACCTCTTAAAATCCTTTATTTCAAAGCTCTGCTCAAGCAACACCTTTAACCTGAATCCTTTCCTTATTCCCAGCTGCTAGTGCCCACCCCACCAAAAAAATTACCTTGTATTCATTTTGTTATATTTTTATTTACAAATTATCATTTGTAGTACAATTTAAACTTCTTGAGGGCAGCAGCTATTTTATTGTTGTCTTTATATCTCCAGTGCCTGCCACAGTGCCTGACATATTAGGGGCACTTGGTAAATAATGGATAGATGGATGATGGATGGATAGATGGAGGCTTTAAGGTGCCATGTGGTAAGGAACTAGGGTGGGAGCTTGCAGCTGGGGTAAAAGAGACTGAAGTGGTAGAGAAGTGTGGTAGAAAGCAAACAGGAAAAGGTACTGGAAGCTATTTAGGAGGATTATGGGGAAGACGGGACAAAATGGGGGCAAAGGGGAAAAGTGAATAGGAAATATATGCTGTCCCTTCCATTCACTCCGTCTTTTCCCATCAACTCCCAAAGGGGAAGAAAGGATAGAGGGAGGAAGAAGCACATCCCTTATCAAGTCACTCCAGCACAGTTTCTTGTTTTCCCCTAAGAGCAACCCTAGGGCAAGAGGAGCAATGGTATTATAGAAGTAGGGATACCACAGCTGTAACAAGATAAGATTTTCTCTCCTTTCATTCTTTTCTTTCAATCAATTCTCCTGGTATTTGCAAGTGGTAAGATTTGAACTGGCAAGGTAGGCAGGAACATTAAACTAGGCTATAGTAAACTTTTCTGTCTTTTTCCTTATCTTTCTTCCATGCCCTTGCCTCTTCCTGTTCTGTAGACTAAATTTGGAATTATGTGAGAAGGTTAATAGGTCTATTGGCAGAAAAGTGTGGGAATAGATCCAAGACGGCAGTTAGAGACTTCACTGAGGACCACCTGATGGCATTCCTGATATGTTCAAAGTGTTTGAAACACTATTCAATCAGTTTCCTATGAAGTAGATAGAAAATAATCTTTAAATAGATAAATATGGCAAAAATCTTTTTAAAAATATGGCTTGAATGTTTTGTGGAAGCAAAAGGCTGGAAACCAAGTATAGGTGCCTGGTGATTGGGGAATACCTTAAAAAATTGTGGTACATGTACACAGTAGAACATTACTGATCTGTAAGTAATAACAGATACAAACAAATTCAGAGAAGTTTGGGAAGACTTATAGGAACTGATGCAGGGTGAAGTAATCAGAACCAAGAAAACAAAATACACAGCGATTATGTTAATTTAAATGGAAAGAACCAGAAAAGAAAAACTAAATGCTATGTAATTATAATGACCACATTTGTCTAGGAAAAAATAAGAAAGTACACCCATCACCTTTCTTTGCAGAGATGGGGAACTATGGGTTTGGAACATTTTGTACCCTGTCAGACTTGATCAGTGTGTTGGTTAGTTTTGCTAAACTGCATTTTTTCCTACTCTTTTTTTGTTCTTTATTAAAAAGGATGGTTCAGTGGTTAGAAGAGGGAGGGATTAATTCAGAAATAAAGGTTATATAAGATAAAATACCAGGAAAAAATTTTTACAGAATTTTTAAGTAAAAATGTAGCTTGATTTTCCTTCACTTTCCTAAAGAAATTGAAGCCTTCTGTAATCCTAAGTACTTATCTGTAAGCTAATAGTTTTATAGAGGAAATTTCTGTTCACTTAAATGAGCTCACAATATTTTCTAGATCTTTTATTTTAGAGCTCTCACAAAATATTTCTCACTCCTGGTATTAATTAAACAATATCTTTTCTCTCCTGTAACAATTGCATTTTAATATTTTTTCATCATTATAGATTGACCCAACAAGAACAATATCGGCAGGAAAAGTGAATCTTGGTGCCTTTAGGACCTACCCAAAGGTAATAAGTTAAACGTTTAGATTAATTGGAATAAATTTGTGTTGAATTGAAGGTATTTTCTTGAAATTCTATTCATTTTGAAAGAGGATTTCCTATGAAAAGTCCATTTCCCCCCATTCTTCAACTCCTAAACCAAAGATGTGAAAATATTAGCATAATATCAATCAAATACCTACAGAATTTGTACCTAGTAAAACAAAACTTCTTTTGAGTTTTTTGACAATTCAATTTAACTTGGTTAAAAGTGTAGGAAAAAAATCCTTTTACTTATTAAGAACCTCTCTTGCTCTTTGTACTGTAATAGGCACTACAGAAACCATTTAAACTGGTATTCCTTGCTTGTACAAGCATGTAGACAGTGTAAGACAGGCAGAACGAATTTGTAACACACAGTAAAATTAATTCTGCAGAGAAAAGAAATGCTCAAGTGACTGATTGGAGTAGGCTTTCATATTTTAAAATTTGAATTGAGGAAACATACCCTTTCTTAAAGCTGTATTTGGGCTGGGGGGAGGGCAGCTAGGTGGTGCAGTAGATAGAGCTCTGTCCTTGGAGTCAGGAAGACCTGAGTTCAAATGCAGCCTCAGACATTGACACTAGCTGTATGACCCTGGGCAAGTCGCTTAACCTGGATTGCCTCAAGTTACAGTGACATTGATTAATTTCCCTAATCATTTTCTGTATGATTTAGTCATTCCCACAGAATGGGTTGAGATTACTAAGGATATATCAAAACAGCTACAAAGCTCAGCTTTTTGATATAAGCCATGGTGAGCTGCCATCTGTGTGAGTAAATTAAGTCGGCTTCCCTCATGTCCTGAACCAGCCCCCTGTATCCTCATTTACCTTTTACCATGATGCCAAGGGAAAAATTTAAGTAACTTGCCCGTAATGGTTCTGGTGTAAAGGGTCTCAGGGAAAACTCCACCCCAGGCCACTTTACTCTAAGTCTGTTATATCTGTTATACCATGCCTTCTTTATGAAACCTTTAATCTTGCATTATGAAAGGCAATGGTATTGTTTATAGTATTGTTTATTTTACTTATGCTGTACCAGTACAGAATTTAATTCCCCAGAACTGCAAAAAGTTGAGAGGGAGAGAGAGAGAGAAAAAAGCTTGAAATAGTTCCGTATATCAGTAGTAAAGTCCCCTACATATTCCAGATTTCATACTTTCTGAATTATACTTTGTTTCTAGAATATTCTCTCACCTTTCATTTACCAGCTGCACTCCTTTGACTTATTCAAATTCTCCTCAGATTCCATTTTCTTTGAGATGCCTTCACTGACTATAACTGGGAAAAATTAAAACTCTTTTTCCCCTAGTATTTGCCCTTTCCCAGGGGATCTATTATCAAAGTAAAACCAACCATGTCCTAATTGTGGAAAATCATTCAACTGTAGTTCTCAAGAAGCTTACCTTCTACCTCTGATCACTTATATATAGATATATCAATCAATATGTCAGTATTCCCTAAACTTGTATCAATCGATAGCTTTTAAAAATTCTTTAAAAATGTATATAGAGCAGCTGCTAACATTGATAAGCTATTAAGAGAGTGATCAAAGTTAAATATCTTGGGAATTAATTTCTTAATCCACAAAATAAACTAAACTGCATTTTGTCACAGTTCCTTAACATTCAATGCAATCCAGGATCAACTGTCTTTAGATTGAAAAGATGGGGCTGAGATGTGAATTTATGTGTCCCTTATTTTTTCTGAAAGTACAAAAAAGATGAGCAGTTGTGATATTTCCTCCTCCCCCCTCCAAGAAAAAAAAAACTAAATTAAATTTATACCAATCTGAGACACTAGTGAATAAGTTTATAAGCCAGATCCAGCCGTATAACCCCAAAAGCAAAATAGCCGTGCATTTTTTCTTTAGGTATAAGAATATTTTCATGCAGTATCAGGCTACCAAAAATATTCTATAGTTACCTTGGAAGTATTTTCACAAACTACTGTCTTATTTGTATTCTTTGTACAGGGCTATAAACCACCAGATGAAGGTCCCTCTGAGTACCAGACCATTCCACTTAATAAAATAGAAGACTTTGGAGTACATTGCAAACAGTAAGTAATTCAGAAAAGAATTGAAAAACTTAACCTTTTTTTTTTTTGCTTTTAGGCAGTTGGGGTTAAGTGACTTGCCCAGGGTCACACAGCTAGTAAGTGTGAAGTGTTTGGTCTGAGGCCAGATTTGAACTCAGGTCCTCCTGACTTCAGGGCCGGTGCTGTATCCACTGCGCCACGTAGTTGCCCCTTAGAAGTGGTTACCTTAAGCAACTTTACAAAAAAAAAAATAATCCAGTAAACTTTGAATTGTGTTTTTATCCTTCCACATTCTCTTCCAGTCTTTAATGGACTTACATATCTATCTTTCAGTGCACACTTGCCATTTTGTGTGCTCTTTTTTCCATTTAACCTTATTTCTTATATTTTCTCTAATACTATCTATGTAGCAACATAGCTGTCAAAAATGAAGAAAATGAGGACTGTGTAGTACTTTCTTATGTTAACAAATCATAGTTGGGGTTGGGGGTTTTGGTTCATTTTCTCTTGTTGGGTGTGTGAGTACTTTTTTTTTTAACCTGTTATAGTGTTACTATTAAGTTTAATTCACTAACATTCATTAAGTGTCTACTGCATGTGGGGCATTGTGCTAGATTTTGTAGGGAATACGAAGAAAAAGGACTCATGCTTGATCCCTGACCTGAAGGAACTTACTTTCTAGGATGGAAATGAAACAAACATACGCAGAATTCAGTTAGTGTCACAAGATAGGTATAAACAAAATGCTGCATGAAATGAGAGCAGAGAGATGTATTATCTTTCACTTTAGAAAAATTGTCTTTGATTTTTTTCTGAGACTTTCTAGGTCTGTTGGTTTGTCTTGAATTACTAAAATATAATATGCAATGCAACAAATCTCTGTTTTTTGTGGAATATGATGCTAATAATAATAGTAGCTGGCATTTATATAGCACTTTAAAAATTGCAAAATGCTTCACATATATTATCTTCTTTGATCTTACTACAACTCTGGGAGGTAGGTGCTATTATTATCCCCATTTTACAGGTAGGGAAACTGAGTCTTAGAGTGGTTGCCCAGGGTTACACAGCTAATACAGATCTGTGGCAGGACTTGAACTCAGGTCTTCCTGACTCCATGTCCAGCAGTCTGTGTACTGTGCCACTTTGTTGCCAGTAGGCCCTAGGGAAGACCAAAAGCTTAAGTGATATGTAGTCGTTGCTTGCAAGGAGTTTATAGTGTATTTCAATAACATGTTAGAGAATTGAAAAATAAAATGGCACATGAGATCTGAGGAGGGAAATTCATCACCAATTTGGCAGGGCCTGGGGAGAGGGACAGTAGGGGGTCAGGGAGGTATTCTAGAGGATTCAATTAGGCTTTAAAGGATGGTAAAAGAAAGAGGAAGGGTATTCATTCTAAGCATAGGAAACAGCCTCTAGAAAAACAGAGAACTGGGGCAGCTAGGTGGCAAGGTGGATAGAGCGCCGGCCCTAGAGTCAGGAAGACCTGAGTTCAAATCCGGCCTCAGACACATGACACATACTAGCTGTGTGACCCTGGGCAAGTTACTTAACCCCGATTGCCTCACCAAAAAAAAAAAAAGGCAAAAAAGAAAAGCAGAGAACTATGAGAGCCTTTTAACCTGGCTCTAGAATATAATATATGAAAGGAGGAAATAGAAGAGAAGGTAGGGTTGAGGCATCAGATTGTGGAGCCCCTTGAATTCCAGGCAGAGATGTTTGAAATTATTGATGCTTTTCTGCCCAGGACTGACTTAAGATCTATGCCTAAGAAAGATCTAGCAATGTGAAGGATGGATTTGAAGGAAAAGAAAATGGAGGGTGAAAGACCTTTAGAAAGGCTTTTATAATAGGGCAGACAAGTGGTGATAAGGACTTGCATTAGAGAATTGGCAATAGGAATGGCAGAAGAGAGGAGAGATTGAAGAAATGTTAAAGAGATTTAATTGCTAGAATTGATTGCTGATTGACTCTTGTCTCTTTCCCCTTACATTCAAAAATAACACCAAGGTAGTCAACGTGGAAGATCAGGTAAATGGTGCCACCACTTAAAACAGTAGCAAAATCAAAAGGATTAACCTAGGAAGGGGCAGAGTGGGGACAAAAACTTATCAAGCACTTATTATGAACAAAGGGATGTAAAGAGACAAAAATTGCTCCTCCAAGAGGAGCTTACCTTCTACTGAGGAGAAAGATATTCAGCTCATCAGGGGACATGTTGATGGAGATAGGACATCTGGAGGTGTCCTATAAGCTGTAAAATGTGGGTCTCTAATTCAGAAAAGAGAAAATAAGAGATGTGGGAGTCATCTACATAGAACTGGTAGGTGAAGCTGTGTGAGTGAACGAGATTGCCAAGAGTTAGAGATGGAAGAGCCAAGGAGAACAAAAATTGTCTTTAATTACTCGGTGAAGAATGCCCATGTTAACTGTTGGGAGGCTGAGGATGTGTGTAAGACTCTGGAGAGTATCTCAGTGAAGCTAAAGAAAGGATCCAGTAGGATCCTGGCAGTTAAGTCCTAGCTAAAGTTGCTGAGAGGTTAAGGAAATAAAAGATTTTTTTTAATTAAGTTTGGTAATTAGAAGGTCTTTAGTAACACTTTGAAAACAGTTTCAGTAGAATGATAGGGGCAGAAACTTACAAGGGGCTGCAGAGATAGGAAATGGAGGCCAACTTGGTGGTAATCCTGAATCCCTGGATAATATTCAGGGAGAGTCCTTATCTAGCCCCTGAAGAAGAAGGGGGTAGCCCCTCCACAGAGGTCTCTAAAGGGGCAAAGATTTGGGATCATTCCCCTGATAAGACTACTAGGGAAGGGGAAATTTGATAAGTGAACAGGGAATATTTGAAGAAGTGACGGTATAGAGAAAGCCATGGTAGATCCCAGGACAGACTGCATGCAAGAGACTTATGACTGTTAAATCCCTTTACTACTGATGACCCTGGTGTGTAATGAATAATTGATGACTATGCTAGAAATCCCATAACATAGGCTGTTGCCCTGGTGCTTCTGGTGCTGCTCTAGCTCCTTATTTCTGCCTTAGTTAGAGATGTGACCATCTCTGTGATGGCCCTGATGTTCCCAATGCTGTTTCTCCGCATTGTCACTAGCTGTCATCAGAGGACCCACTGTGAACTATAGGGATTTGTCATTGCCCAGTGCCAGAGACTATATCTTTGAAATCTAGGACTTGGGCCTTCTAGAAGAAGGGTAAAGGAAAAGCCTAGAATTTCTTTGTTATCTTTTATGTTTTTTATGGTCTCCTTCAGGAAGCCATTAAGATTGTTTTTTGTCTTTTGCTTTTGCCATGGTTTTAGTTTATTTTTTTTTCCCTTTTTACTTCCTCGTATTGTCTATGCCAGGCTCCTTGGATCTAAGCTTAGGATTGTCCAGTGAAAGACCTAAAGCTATTTAAATGATAGAAGGTCTTCTAGAAGAAAGGTGTGGAATTTGAAAACTCCCAAGTGTAGCTGAACCTACTCTGGAAAATGTTTAACAAAAAAAATATTTTTTTAAAATAAAACACAACATAGATAATGTTAATTTATGGTTTTCTAATACACAGCCCATGGGGATCTTTTCTGTTTGAGTTTGACACTGTTCTAGAAGATCTTTAGGACCTTGCCACGAAAGGGTGGGATCTGACAGAATCACTGTCTACCCAGGTTCTTCCTTCCCTCTCTTCCCCCCACCCAAGTGGGTGAGACAGTTTTCCTCTGTAAGGCAACAGAGCTGTCCCCAGGTCTTTGTTTGCACAGAGGACTAAGACCAAGCTGTGCAGCTTCTTGGTGGCCTCTGGCCGGATTAATGTGACTTTCTGGTCACTTTAGGGCATAGCAAAAGCACATGGAATTGGGACCCCTCAGACTGGGTAGCTGTCCCAAGGTCGTGTAAGTCATTATATCCTGTTCTGCTTACCAGCTGTGTTTTTATATGGAAACTAGGCTGACAGCCTCTACCTGAGCTAAGTGTTGCAGTATCCTAAATGGATATCCTTTCTGTGCTATAGCTATGTTAACTGTTGAATGATTAGTGAGTATCTCATTTTGTTCCAACAAACTTACACTAATAGGGAATCAGCCTATTACACATGATATTGCTAGAATATTGTTTTCAGAATGGCTTTTTTAAAGGCTAATTGAGCCAGGTACCACTTCCAGATTATAATTTAGAATTGATTATTATTTTTCACTGAAGCTGAAGAAGAGGGCTCATCTGGGATCTGTTTCCAAAAAGGATAAATCATATTTGTCAGCCTGTTTTGTTTGGGATATGAAATAAAAATATGAAACCACAAATGGTAAATGCAATTCACTGTATATTTAAAAGTAACTTCTTTAAAATGCACTTGTTTTATTTGTCATTTAAATTAACTTATTTTTCATGTAATAGGTACTATGCTTTAGAAGTCTCTTACTTTAAATCATCTTTGGATCGAAAATTGCTTGAACTTCTGTGGAACAAATATTGGGTAAATACTCTGAGTTCTTCCAGCTTACTTACGGTGAGTATCAGAGTTTTAAAGGACACATTTTGAATTTCATCTAATCTATATCCAATCACTTTTCTTGTGAGGGTATAAGGGTTTATGAGAAATATTTATATTGCCAAGTAAGTTTTATTTTTATGTTGCAAGTGTACAATAACATTTTTCCATATCTCACATGGTCATAACTTCTACTAACCATATCAAAAAGTTAAAAATAAATAAATCCTTTGAATAACAATATAGGTGTCTCAACACATGTGTACTAAAGTTTATTAAATACATCTTCATGATCTCCATGAAGCATCAATTCATTCCTTACTCTTGACCACAGTTCATATTGGAAAGAAATCTTATAAAGGAAATTAATATGGAAAAACTTTCAAATGTAGTACTAAACTTAAGAGATTTGACATTATAGAGTAATTCTGGAAATGTTTTGATCACACTTATCACTTAGTATACCTGAGGGTTACAGTTTCAATTTGTTATTTGGGAATTTTCAAGAATATAGAGGTTTTTTCCCCCTTTTTTTCCCCCCTCTTGCTTGCAATGTACACTAGCTTCCATCAGGTGGCAATAGATTTGCACAAGTTCTTGTGGGAAGGTTTTTAGTCACTTTCAGTTGTGTCCTACTCTTTATGACCCAATTTGAGGTTTTCTTGGCAGAGATACTGGAGTGGTTTGCCATTTCCTTCTCCAGCTTATTTTCCAGATAAGGAAACAGGGTTAATTAAGTGACTTGCCCAGGGTCCTACAGCTCATAAGTGTCTGAGGCCACATTTGAACTCAGGAAGAATAGTCTTCCTGACTCCAAGCCAGGCACTTTATCCACTGTGCCGCCTTGGGGCCAGATAGAAAACATACAATGTGATATTAGAAATACTGACTTTTTTTAAATACTGACTCTTAAACACCAAGCCTTTTCTTTTTTTAAAAGATTATTGTAGTTCTTTATTATTGGGGGGAGGTGTCGGGGTGTCGTAACATAGTTGTTAAAAATCTAAAACTTTTGTATTTAAATTATTAATTTTAGGACATTGAATAATGTAAGAATGAAATAAATACCTAGATAAATTGGTAAGCACAAATCCCTCTAAGGTACACAGAATGTAAAACACTCTTGCCCACACCTTCTGTTTGATCTACATCAACTAATTCTAGGCCCATCCCTAGAAGCTGTCTCAGTTTTTAAAAAATTGTTTCACCCCAGAATCAGTGTGCCAGTAGGTAAGCTAGAAAAATGAAGGCAGAGTTTGTTGGTCAAGGTCTGGAAATATATCTTAAAATAGAGGAGATAAAAATGGCTCCCCTAGTTTGGGGGTACAAAGGGTGGGAATCAAGCAAAAAAAATGTACACAGACAGTGTGGTGTAGTGATTAGAGTACTAAATTTGGAACCCAGAGGACTTAGGTTTAAATCTAACATTTTTCTACCTTTGCAGTCATGGTTACACCCCTTAATTAAGAACATGAACACTGAAAAAAATAAGCTCTTAAACACTTGGGGCAAAGAATAGTGGAAAAAGTAGTGGTCTTGGAGTCAAACACCTAGATTTCCATCCAGACTTTAATCCTGAGAATCTGTGTGACTTTGGGCAAGTCACTTAACGTCCCTGAGCTTCAGCTACCTTGCCTGTAGAATGAGAATACTACTATTTATCCTGTCTTTCTCACAAATGCTTGAAGTTACTGGACCATGAGAAGGGCCTTTTGTTTTGGCCTGGATCTACAATGCCATTGCTGAAGCAGACTCTCCACAGATACAGAGCCACAGCTTTTCTCCCATTTACAATCTTAGAGAGCTGCCTAGAGCACTAAGAGGGTAAGTGACCTGCATAGGGTCACACAGCCAGTGTGTCAGAAACAGAACTTGAACCCAGGTCTTCCTGACTTGGTGGCCATTTCTGGGGGCACATAATTTCTTCCTTTAGATATTTTAAAGTGTCATAGATTAGATTAGACTTGCCTTGCGGGAGAAAAAAAAGGAATTTGTAGAGAAACTAGTTTCTTCTTGATGCAAGAAACTAAAGTTATCTAAAAGTGGAATGAGGTAGTGAGTTCCCCATCAGTGGAATCATCAAGCAGAAGCTAAAGGAACACTTGTAGGGATGTAGAGGGGATTTCTGCTTGGGGGTATGGGTTAACTAGATGGTGTCTGAGGTGCCTTCCAAATCTGAGATTTCATATTTCCAGTTAGTTGGGCAGAGACTGTCTTGTTTGCACACAGTGGGCTCCTAATAAATATTTATTGTGAGGTTATGTACCATTTCAAGTGAAGTAAAATTATTAGTACTACTCACACAATGGCCTGCATTTTGTTAAAATAGGTTGCCTGTTTTTGTTGGTACTAACAATAAATTATTAACAGAAAAAAAGGATAATGGGCACTGATCCTGAGGACTGTGACATACTACCCATTCAAGTTCTTGGACAAATAACTGCATTAGTATTTCTTCTATGCATTTTAAAAAATGCAACAGTCTTTCAAAACAAGTGCTAAGTTTACACAGACAGAACTACACAAGCAAGGTCATAGAATTTAATCCTGAAGCTTCAAGCCATGATTGGATTGATTTTATGATTTCTCAGTTTTGTCTGGTTTTCTCTATTCTGTTTGTTCTAATTCCTAATGATATTTAGGTTAAATGAGGGAAATTTCAAAGTGAGTTTCATTAATAAAATGTGATTTTATTTTAGGAAGGCTAGTTTGAGGAAAGGTAAAAAGACAAAAATGAAATTCATGGTGTAAATCAGATTTTATAATAATTGATTTTCTTATTTGGACAGTTTTTAAAAGTTTGAAGTTCTACCTCAGCTAGCCATTTAGATTTTATGCCAGAATTCTTAATAACACATTGATTAATACATTTTCTACTAAATATAATTGAAAGGAAAGTAACTTCTCTCAGTGATAGAGAAATGAGCCCTCTGGATCAGTAAGTAACATGTTAAATGCTGTTTTCTCTCTTCCTTCCTTTCCACCCCCCACCCCCACCTGCAGAATGCAGACTACACCACTGGACAAGTCTTTGATTTATCTGAAAAACTAGAACAGTCAGAAGCCCAGCTTGGACGAGGGAGTTTCATGTTGGGTTTAGAAACACATGACCGAAAGTCAGAAGACAAACTTGCTAAAGCAACAAGAGACAGGTAAGGAAGTATGAATTCTTGCCCTTACTTTCTTTTTATTTTCCCACAAAGTAAAACTTCTCTTTTAATTTAATTCATTAAACATTTATTAAGCGCCTGGTATGTGACAGGCTCTATGCTAAGTGCTAGGAATACAAATAAGAAAAAGAAAGACTGCCTTTAACCTAAAGAAGCTTACAATCTGTGGGGAAAGCACACCAAGAGAAGCTGGAAAGTGGAGGCGAGGGGTGGGTTATGTGTCACTGGAACATCTTGGTCCTTTTTTGAAGTTCAGACCAAGCTGATCTATAGGTGTAAAGTAACTACAATCCAAATTCTTTTGCAAATATCCTTATTGTAAACTTAATAACCGTCCGTAAAAAAAAGAATCAAACAAAATAAGGGGTAAAACCTTACATGAGTTCCTTAGCATTTAACAAGGGATATAACAATGAATTAATAAACAATAAGCAAATAAAAAACAACCCTAAGGAATTTTTTGTTCTGTGATCCCTTCCAAATGTGTCTGATGTTTTCAAGTCGGGTTCTTTTGTCTTTCTCTTATACAGATATGCATACCATACATACATCTAGACACATGTGTGTGCACACACGTGTCTGTGTTTGTAAATAGTTAAATACAGGGTAGTTTGAGAAGGAAGGACACTAGTACTCGAAGGTATCAGGAAAGAAAGACCAAGGATTTTTTGAGGTGGTGGTTAGAAGAGAGAGTACATTCCCAGGCATGGGGAACAGCTCTTGAAAAAGCATGGATACAGGAGATCTAGAGATCTAGAGTCATGTGAGGGACAAAGAAAAGGTCAGAATGAAGGACCGGATGTAATGTAGGAGGGTCCTGGGATGACAGATTGAGGCAAAGTTGTGAAAGGCTGTAAAAGCTAAACAGACTTTCATATCTTATTCTAGAGGCTACAAGAAACTGCTGGAGTTAATTGAGTAGGGGAATGACATGGTCAGAGCTTTGTTTGAGAAAAATCTTTTTGGCTGGATTTTGCCTGGAGAATGTAGTGAAGTGGAGAGAGATTTGAGGCAGGAAGTATCAGTTGGGAGACCACTGCAACAGTCTAGGCAAGAAATGATAAGGGCCTGTACAAAGTTGGTGGTGTGAATAGAGAGAAGGGGTCAGATGTGGTAGATCTTGTAAAGGCAGAAATAAAAAGAATTAGCCAGTTAATTAGGTATGTGGGATGCAGTTAGCATTAAGGAGAGCATCCGCTTCTTTGCATGTGCAGTACTGTGCTCATAATAATTTTTAAATGTTCATTCATTTGAATCTGCCTTAAATTATAAGGATCTCTACACAGCATCTCAGTATATAGCAAATTTTACTGCTACAGAATTGATCATATTAAATTGGGAACTAATTTGTCATCTGTTACCTGGAAACTCACTCTCTAAAGCATACTTGGAGGCACAAAGGAGTAATTAAGCTATATGATATCATTTTAACCATTTCAGCAGTGATCTTTTAGGAGAAAATGTATCAAATAATGGGAAATATTGGAGATAATGTGTAGAATTTTCTTTTATATAAAACTTTTTAAGAATATTGCATCTGTTTTTATTATTAATATTAAGGAATACCTCTCTGAAGACTGCTCATGTATATGTAGTTTTCCTTTTATTACCTAAAAACATCTTTATCCTCTTTAACCATTAGTGAACTAGACTTCAAGTAAAAGTGTTGTTTTCTAAACATATATATTTAGGTAAATGAATTAGATTGTAGATACTAAATGGCAATTTTTAAAAAATTAAAACATTGTACTTTTGTAAGCTTTAATTTGTGCGTATTTGTCTGTATTTTTTTCTCAGCTGTAAGACCACCATAGAAGCTATCCATGGATTGATGTCTCAGGTTATTAAGGATAAACTTTTCAACCAAATTAATATTTCTTAAAGAATGCCACCAAGTAGTTACTCATTTATGCTTTCTTAGAGGTATTTCCTTTGTTTGACAGCTAGTATGAGAAAAATTACTCAAGTTTAATTGGTCATCAAAAATCTGATTTGCAGAACAAAGTGCTTTGAAATTCTATTAGTCGTATTAAAAATATTCCAGAAGATTGCTTTGGAAAACTTCTTAAGAAGAAACTAAAGAATTGTCACTTAGATATTGGCTTTTAGTTATTTATACTGATCACTGACCTATAATAAAAATTTCTTTAAAATGAAAGATTCTTTTCTTTGTACTTTCTGCATTATTCTAATGTTCTTAATAAGAGAAACTTGAATAAGTTTAAGGAAGTCCTTTGATTTTTGAAAGATTCTGCCATTTCTTTCTAAACTTATCACAAGCTTTTGGTAAGACTTTGTGACACTTTATTTCAAAACCACATTCTGTTTTATTTTATTAGTGAAAACCAGAAATCTCCTTAAAAATGCAGTTTAAAGCCATCTGTTTCTTCCAAGATATTTTCCCCTAAGTTCTCATCATGAAATGTTTCCTTTAAAAAGTCAAGCAATTTAGAGATGACTTAAAATATAACTTTTAAAAATGACATAAATTATATAAATGTATAAAAAAGATAAAACAAATACCAATGCTGGTTACATCTTAGTGTTTTGTGTTTAATTTTATCAGTCTTCATTTATATTTAAAAACTGAGTAGGCACAATCTTACATATTGTTGGAATCAGTCTAGCACCTGGTAGTAAGAATATCTTAGAATTTTAAAGCAATTCAGCTGTATAAATGATTGAATTTGTTTATTGAAATTTGACACAATAACATTTTTTCACACCATATGGAAAGGAAATTGATATAGTGGGAAGAATGATACATTTAATATCAAGGATCTGTGTTTAAATCTGGGCTCCTAGTCACCTGTGTGCCTGGGCAAGTCACTTGAGGTCTCTGAAACTCTTGTCTTCTGAAACATCTGCGAAATAAGGAGGTTGGAATATAATTGACTTCTAAGGGTCCCTTCTAGCTCTAATTTATGATCCTTTTGTCCAGATGTGGTTTTTTTTTCCCCCAACTATTCATAAAAACTTTTCTTTATTGGAATATATCTAATGTATTGCATGTGGAACTGGTTTGATATCACTTGAAATGTCAGGAATAAGAACCAAAGTAGACAACACAAGCACCCTGAAATTGGATGTGTCATCATTTTTTGTGTGTTTGGAAGATAAACTCTGACGCCAAACATTTTATCTGTAGCCCATTTGTGGGATCAAGGTCAAAGATTATTTTTACAAATTAGTTACATCTAGCTAGAGTTTTTGATGTTAAGCATTCGTTGCATTGTGCATAGAATAATAAACTCTTCAGTAGTGCAGCAGCCACTTGAAAATAAACACAGCAGAACAAGAACATAGGTACTTCACAATAAGACTAGGTATTGGAGGCTTATGTACCCTACAGGTTCATTTTCCAAAAACTTGTGTGAATGATGAGGTACAGATGTACCAGTCATGTTTGCACGTAAGAATTCGTTTATTTTGCTAATGTCTGCATTGTATCTGAATGTAGTTGAATAAACTGAACTGAATACAGACTGGTTTAATTTTCAAGGTTTCATTCTATACCTCCTGTATTGATCTGAGCAAAGTTAAGCAACCATGGGGTGTTTTTGGAGATATAATATAGAAAACTGCAAATCTGCTCAGATTTTTGTTCATCTTCATGATGTAAAATTATTTAAGTAGATAATTTGTTCAACTTTATCACAAAGTAGTCATTCACTATACTCACCTCTCAATTCTTTGTCATTGTTTCCAAAACACCACTTAAAAAAATTAAAGCCTAATTGCACATTCTCAAGTTTCAGCATATTTTCAACATGAGGGCTGCAGAAAGTATTTCTAAAAACTAAACATTTCATGTTAAAGTCATACCAGTTATGAAATGGTGACATATTTTAAGATTATAAATGGTTCCTTCTGAGCTGGCCAATTTATCTTAAAGATTCTAAACCTCTATCAAATTTACTAGTTAAAAAATTTAAATCTCTTAAAGACATTTGTTGTGACCCTCTTATTTTAGATGATTATAATAAGTATGGTACTCAAGGTCAGTAACCAAATTTTTACTAATTAGGGGGCATATTGATAGATTTAACTTAGTTGACCTTAGAAATCAAAATATAAAATAGGGAACTATGTAGCTTTAGGGAAAATTTCAGAGGAAACGGCTAAAATCATAGCTTGATAGCTAGCACAAGTGATTAATTGCATTTTCACCATGTGGAATTTTTTTATGCCAAAATTTATGGACTGCTTAACAAATTGGAGAGTCCCCTATGTCAGTGTTGATATTTTCTTTGGACTACGCTAAGCTTTCTAATGACTGAACGAACAAGGTATTGTGCCTTGGAGGCACATTTTGATGAGCTACAGTTGTACTTTCTTTTTCACAATCTAAAGGCTACAAATACAAAGAATTATATTGTGTAGGCTAACTTATATCTGGACCCTGACATTAGGCTTTGGCATATGTGAAATACCTACTATAAAATTCTGAATATTTGTTACTGTAAAAAGTAATTGAAAACATTGACTTTTCTGAACATCACAGCTGATCAGAGCTCATCTCCAAATCATTTTTTGCCATTGGAACACTAATACATAACCATTTGGCTTTTATACAATCACTCATAGGAAATTTTTACATGCTATTTTTATGTAACTTGTATTCAGTTCCTTTGCAAATTGTACCTCATTTCCTGTATATATTTCTGGTTTGTTATAGACCATTACTTACCTTAATGTCTGTTTTAAGTTAAATAGCATAATTCATAAGAACAAAATTATTCTGCAATCCTCCATCTAAGGGAACACCATTAGTGAATAATTATCACCATCTGAATTTTCTTAGCAAGAAGGAAGTTGTATTCACTTAACATGTCATTACTGATAAAAATAAATACCAGTCTTTAAGGGATATCTTTTTTACTGCAGTTATTGAGACTAGAGCAGAGGATCTTAGTCTAGGGCCCATAAACTTTTTTTATAATACTTGCAATAGAACTGACATTTGCAATCCTATGTGTTTTGTTTTATGCATTTAAAAACTATTCTGTAAAGGAGTCCATAAGCTGCCAGAGGGGTCCATGTCACAAAAAAAATGGTTAAGATCCCCTGCCATCTTAGAAAATCAGAGCTTATCACATATTACATTCATAACACTAAGGAATTGAATAGTTATAGAATCTCCGTTTAAGCAGACTTAAACACTATGGACTTTTAAGATCTCAAGACATTTTATGAACATGTATTACATACTTGTCTTGCTAATGTTTAAAATAAATGAAGTTCTATTTAGCCAAAATAATGAGGCCTTTACTATAACTGGAACAATAATTTTCAATAATCAGTCTCTTTCACTGGTTCTCTGAACAGATCTTTGAAATATTAAATATAGTAGTTTAGAATTGTCAATTAGGTTCTTCTTTTTTAACCGCCTTATAATAAAGCATTAATGAAAACTGCTCTCAAACTCTAGATGCATCTAAACTTATTCTTAGAATCCTAGAGAGTTGTTGCCTACTGTCCTGGAAGGCTCGGTGAATTTGCCTAAGTTCACATGGCTGGGAAGTGTCAGACATTGCACTTGAATCAGTGCCTTTCTGACTTCAGTTTATGCCATGATCCTTCTTACCAAAAATCAGGAAATGTATTACCTATTTATCAAGAAAATGTTTTATTATGCTTCAATTTTACAAAAGAATTAGTTTCAATAGATGTTTCTTGGGATGGGATGCAAGAATTCTTTTGTTTTCAGTCAGAAAATCACTACTTCAACTTCTAGGCTTTTGCCTGAGAAAATAATCTTTTGTTGAAATAGAACATGAAATTATGTCTTTATAAAATCTTTGATTTTAAAAATTAATTGTTTTGAAATCATATAAATATATACATATAATAGCACCAACCTCCTAGGGTGGTTGTAAGGATAAAATTTTATATACACACATATACATCATTGTGTGAGCATGTGTGTGTGTATAAATTTTATCCTTACAACCACTCTAGGAGGTTGGTGCTATTATTATCCCCATAAGGGACCGGCCTCAGCTCACACAGATAGTGTCTGAAGTCACTTTTGAACTCAGGTCTTTCTGACTCTAGGACTACCACTCTATACACTGCACCACCTAGCTTTCCCCACATATATATAATATTTTAAAGTTTGCAAAGCAGTCTTCACAAACCTCCTTGGTATACAATACAAATATTATCCTTATTTTACAAGGGTAAAAATAAGCTCAGACTTTACATGGTCAGCAGCTACTAAGCACGCCAGCGTCAGGTTTTACCCATATCTTAGGACTTCAGTCTTGTACTCTTTCTAGTAGACCACACTGCTTCTCAGACTGATATTTAATCAGTATGTTTTGGACTCAGATTGAATTGAAGTGAATGGAATTTGAATTCCTCCCAGTAAGGAAACTCAAAACATTTCAATGTACAAAGAACAAGAGAGAATTATATATAAGAAAGTGGACTTTTATTATGTAGAGTTCTTTTAAGCATATATTAATTTTAACGAGACAGTAATAAAATTGCTGTGTCCTCCAGCTCTCCTCTTTGTTTTTTCATATTTTGTTAATGCTTTTTTTGGTCTAACGGTCATGACTACTCTGGACCTAGGCATTCAGCCTGACAAGGAGGAGGAATACTCCTTTTCTCATACATTTTGGCTCTTTATGTTCCCATCAAGGCCCACACACCCCTCATCCCTATGAAGATTTAATTAAAGCTTAGAGCACATAGAAGCTGTGGGTTTGCCTTCCAAATTCACATTCTGATGAACAGGTTGGGTTCCCAGAGCAAGGTTACTTGGAATTCTTTCTGCTCACTCACACCTTTTGTATATACCCTACCTCCAGCTTACTAGTCAATTAAAAGGCTTTTTTCTTCACCATATCACAGTAAATCAATAGGATACCTTCACAGACCCTGAAGTAGGAACATAAAGGGTCACTCCGTACCGTGTACTTTAGAAGTAGTCTCATTAAGCCTCCCCATACATTGATATCACTTGAAAAACGCTGCTCTTACTCCAAGAGCCATGCCTCTATTGGCCACTTTGATTTGGCTCATATCTGGAGTTTCTTCAGAGGGAGAAGAATAGAAAAGTATTCATTGTATAATGTAAATCAAGTATTGGACAGGTTTTATTTTCAACACATGAAAGAAATGCTTAACATAAAAGGTTCTCACAAGCACTCATCTGGTTTGTCAACAAATATCTGCTGGCTAGCTATATGTATAAAAATCATTGAAGGTAAATTTCTCTCTAATATTACATGATAATTCAAGTGTGATTATTTTTAAATAGGCCCTTAAAAATCCTTTTTAAAAAAGCATCTTGGGGAAAGGAAATTCTCAGTCTATGTAACATTCTTCAAAAACATGTCCAATGCTTATGTAAATTTTAGTATCTTTTATGTCATTTTTCAAAATATTGTACGAAATAATCTATTAATAGTTTGCCAGATTTTTTTGTTGCACTGGAGAGTAAACAGATGATTACTTAACAGTGTCCCAATAGGCAGGAATTATATTTCACCTCATGATGAGTCAATATTTTCTCTCAAGCTTGTTTCATAATGTTTTTTTTAAACCAAATTAGTAACTTAAACCTCTTCAAACACAGCCTGCAATCATGGAGAGGTAACTGTGTCTAAGAAAGATCCAAGTCCAAAATTAATTTGCAGAATATAATCGTAGAAATTTAAGGGTAAAATGGACCTTAAATATCATCTAGTCCAAGCTCCAACATTTTACAGATGAGGAAACTGATGCCCAGAGAAATGAAATTGCTTCCTTTGGAACCCAAGACTCCTGATTCACAATTCAGTGCTAATATATTTTTTTAAAAAATCATGAAATCTTTCTAATATTCTTCTGAAAGTTAATTTGAAGCTCAGATTCTTAAGATCTGGGCCGCTTGCATTAGTGATACAAATGCTTAGATTCCTTAAGAGTCTGGCCAATATGCTGGATTCTTTAACTCTCACCCATCCCTGATCAATGTTCTAATAAATCTTGTCTTTGGCTGAAAGAAGGCTTGGGTTGAATTCATTTGGACGGGACCCAGGTGTTGTGATTTTGGGGTCCCAGCATGCCTAAACCTCTAAACCTCAACATTTTGATGGCCCATACAAGAAAGCTGCCTAATCCAAGCTCTTCTTCAGCCAAGACTGGAAGGTATGCAAGCCTCCTCCCTCTTTCTTATCCAAAGCTGGGGTCACTGTCCAAGAACCTAGGAAGGTTTGGAGGTGCTTTTCCAGCATACAGTTACGAGGCTGTCACATTCAGCCTGATGCTCAGGCTCTCAGTCCACTGGTTCAGTTCAAGGCCATGGACCTGGGTATACCTTTCACACCATAGAGGACAAGGATGGATGCCCTACCTGGAAGTGTATACCCAATTCTGTCAATTCTCTCAGCGCTGGGTATTAGGAAAACTGCAGTGCTTTTTGGTTCCCTGAAGCTTACTTATTCCCTTCCCTCTACATCCCTGGATCCTCCTTCACAGAAGCTACAGGG